TGAGTGAAGTGAAAATTAGGCCTTCATTTAGCAAAGGGAGACTTCTATGTGTTTATTTGAAGAGTACTCCAGATTATTGTGCTTTTTCATCCACATCTTCTTTTACCAAGAAAAGAGGAGTCTGATTGTTGTGGATAATAAATTGATAAAGCTATCTTCCACTACCATATTACAGTGTATACAGAAGATTCTCATGCACAGCTACTTGTATCAGTAGCAAATGATCTCATCTAAATACAAGTTTTACATGCTATGTCTGAATTGTTCGTTTGACTGCCGTGGAGGAATCTACTGCACTGTAAAAGTATTTCTTCATATAGATTCTAATAAAATACATGAGCAAACTGTTGTACAACAAGTACAACAGTAATTCACTAATCACATCTATTTTAATCTTAAATATACGTGTTTCAAAAATTCTGAACAAGATGTAGGCTTCAGATCTGCTTCAGCTTTTGCTGCTTCCTGAAGAGCAGCCGGGAGAAACTGCGAGAATGCCTTAGAATGGAAAGAATGAAGGAGCTCCACTTCCAAGAAGTACTGGCACTGGCCTCAGACAGCTCAATAGTTGTGGGTATTATGGAATTTTGCTAGTCTGCCTGTAATTATTGATAAAAATGCTGTCAACACTAGTATATTAGAGAATGGAGAGCTTACCTATTTGGACCTTAAATTACAGTCCACATTTATTCTCATCTTCCTAAAGAAAAGACTTTATGATCAGACTGCTTTTTACAACTTTTCTTTCCACAGTTTTAGCTTACAGGGTAGATGAGCTAGGAGAATTGCTTTGTCCTCTGAAGTCAAGGGCTCACTGTAGGAAGAGAGCAAGAGATTTAGCTGCTGTAAACAGAGCACAAAGAAATTACCTTTTTTTGGACGTGCACATGACTGCAGCTAAATATATACAGAGGCAAAGCCAGGACAATTTATTTTGCCTCTATCTACTTTGAACTGATAAATGTCATTATTCTACTCTCTACAGATTTTTTTAAAGACCACTGGAACCTTAGTCTGTAGGATGGAAAAAATTGATTATGCACTGATTCTCAGGAGAAAAAGTAGTGTCATTCTACAAGAGATGTTAACAGAAATTAGCAAAACAGGACTTTAATCTGTCTTTCCAACTGTACCTGATGTCCTACACGTGATCTTGCAGGTCTTCCTAGTGCTCTAATCCCTTTGAAGGTGAAGTTGCCTAGTCATAGAAGAGACTATGTAGTGTAATAGTTCAAGTGATATGCTATTATTTCAATAGCAACTCATATTTATCTGTTTGAGTATTAATACTTGGCAATTTCTGATGAAGAAGCATTAGTGTCTAAATTAATAAAGTTAGCTGTCTATAGGTAAATGTCCATCTTTCATCCCCATCTTTATAAGAAATGCAATAAGGAATACAGTAGTTTTAACTCTTCCATGCCAAGAATACAATCCTATGCAATATTGCTGACACCGCCTCAGCATGGTCTTGTATGGGCCAAGGTTATGTGCCTAAGAATAAGCATGTTTCTACTCTCACCACCACTCTTAAATTCCAGCACAGTAAATAATTAATATTCTTTGTAGAGTAGAAGTTTTAGTCTTTTTTTTTTTTTTTGGTGGAGAAGAATTTAGAAACATAATTCTTGTCTTTTAGGGTTTAATCCAGACTTAAGAACTTTTGGACTGAATAGATTTTTTTTTTAAATTCAAATAGACTGCATTTGTCATTCTGCTTTCTTACCACAACTAAGAAAATACATTACAGTGAGAGGAAATAATGTCATTTGGATCCAGTGTCTCTACATTACTGGTACAAAAGAACATGAGTGATCCTGGCTGAGCCAATATTTCTCTGGAAGTCAGAGGCCCATTCTGTGCTGACCCACTATGTTCAATATTCAGGCCTGTGAAAAAAGAAGTTCCCAAATAAAATCAATTCAATGAGAGGAGGTTGTTGCTGACTGAGGTGAAAAGTGCTGTGTGTGCATTACTGTCTACCATAGGCACCAGAAAACCCTGCTGCAGAGCATCTAGTTGCTACTGTAATTATTGTAGAGTCAGATGATGTCACTGCTAGAGGGCAAATTGAAGAGCTTCATGCCATCAACTTTATTTATATCAAAGCAGAAGTGCTTTAAAATCTGTTCTTACAGAAGCAACAAATCTGAACATATACTTTTGTTTGGAAATTCTAGAAGTACTGAAAGTTCCATTGTTTTTCAATAAGATAAAATGGCAAATGTTGAATTGTTTCTTAAAAGTACTTTATTGCAGTGCCACAAGTTTCTTGGAGACAAGATATTTTCTAATCACAAACCGTCTGCAGATTATACTCAACAAATTCTAAATATGGCTGAATAAACAAAAAAAAAACTATGAACTTGTCTACATGTACATGAAATTTCCTACTTTTACTCCACTGGAGGAATTTTACTTGATTTAAACACAGCAAGACAAAACATCTTTCCTATAAGTGAGATTCAGGGCCTACTTTACTAAGTTATTACATCTTTACTGTACCCTCATTAATTCTGAAGTTACATCATCTGAACCTGTCATTACATTCTCTGTAACTTGTGTTCACTGGATCCTTTCTAAAAGTGCATATGCATTTTCAAGTATGACTAGATCTTAACAGAAAGGTGTCCCTACAATAAAACTCCTTCCTGACAGCTCCTGCTGCAATAAGAATTGCCTTATCTTTGAAGTTCTTTGTTACAGCTTAGGCTTGGGCATCATAAACCATACAAGATGTCTCAGACACTTCACATTTTAATTTCTGTCTGAAATCAACTTCTTTTTGTAAGAAGAAATCTTGGAAAAATATGTCCCATTCTGCTTCTTGAGGAGTGCAATTGACCGATTTTGTAATACTTCAAAACTGTTTCCTACTGCACATTATCAAGCTGATACATCTTCATTTGTCAAGCATCTGACTTCCTCTAATAAGAAACATAATTTATCCTTAAGTGGGTACCAGCAGCATTATGGCTGTGTTAATGCAGAGCTCAGTATCAGGTATTCACTGACTGAGCATAGATATATATATTTGTATGCACATACAGGAGCCAGGATGAGTTTTGCAGTTTGTTCTGAACTTTTCCCCACCTTGAGTACACTTCTAACAGTAATCAAGCCAACTCAGGCTTGTTTCCTAGAGCTGCTTTAATACATTTGACTGCAATATAGATATTTCTTCAAGTTTTTACATGAGGATCAAAATGACTAGTTAGAAGCTGAAGGTTGTACATCTAAACCATCTGACTTATGGACAGCCTTTCATCTTTTTGACAGCTTTGCATCAACCTGTTATACAATAAAAATCCTGAACATGTAAGACTCGAATCCACCAGCTGATTATGATATTTCCTAAAATAGATAAAATGGAAATGTCATGGATACTACTAAAAGCCTTTTACTGAGTGAGAAATAATTTTCAAAAGGTGGACACTTCAGTAACTGAAGTTTTTACAAGAAATGCAATGTTTGGGAAGTGATGTATTCCCACAAGCATTTGTTACTCTGACTTATACAATTTAATATATGATATTTAATATCACTATATATAATTATATCACATTTCAGCTGTAATACTGAAGGCTGATCTCTAGATCACTATCTCAGTGACAGCTTACTGAGGCTCCTGAGCTCCACGTTGCAACCCACAGAATGTGAAAGTCAGTGCAGAAGCAGTGTATTCACATTGCTGTGATGCTATGTCTGAGTTAAGCAGCTCCATCCCTCAGCTTGCTTTCTTTCTGAATCTCAGCAGGACACGTTAGCTTCAGCACATTATACCTGTTGGACTGACCCTGCTCTTGGCACCTATTTGTATGGTTGTCTTGGTTTTTAAAGAGACTTCTCCAAGGTATTGTCATTCACAGTATCCTCTGCAGGAATACAGGATGAAAAAGTCTTGATTCAGTCTTGAAACATATGACAATAAGTAGGATTTTATACAGCAACATTAGTGCTTATTATGCATATAGTGTGTGACACTCAAGAGCAGTTACAGAAACACATTCCTGACATTAGAAGCTTACAATCTAAACAAAATAAATTGCACAGAAGAGATCAACATACAAAAAGCAGAATCATTGTTTTCTTACTTTTAGTGTACATCTTGCTAACATATTGGATTGTGAACAGAGCAATGAGTTAAAGGAGTTATTGTGATTTAAAATAAAAGATAATGAAGAGAGTGATAGCTTGAGGAATTATTCTGAGAGTGGCTCAAAGAAATGCAGAGCAAAGGCTCATTCATGACTGGGAGCTCAGAAAAAATAGGAAAACAGTGTAGCAATAGAAAATAGATTTTAATATATTTACTTATCCATATTATTGAAGTTACAGACACTGACCAAAATGCTGTTGCACTAAGCTTCTTGCTTGATGCCTAGATATGTGACGGATTATACCAGTTTTACTAATTTCAGTGAGAGCTATAGAGATGCAACTCCTTTAAAGAGCTGGCTGAAGACTTTTATTGGCTGAAGGCTAAGGTCAAAATTCTAGCATAAATTTGCACTACTAAATGCGGGAACAGTATGTCCAAGTGCTGGTATGAGTCTTTTTTGTACAGAAATTGCAGCTTCTGCTCACTGGTTTCCTGTGCATCAACAAAATAGCCATTTATAGGAAGTAAGGTAAATATTACAGAATGCAGTTTTGAAGGAAGACTTGTTGAGTAGCAGAGGGCTAAACAGTAATAGACAGTGTAAAAAAAAACATAGACATTCTTTCACCCCACTGGTTAATGTAAAATTGAGTAATAGTAGTAGTAGAATAAAGATATTAATTGGAATAACGCCATCCATCCAGTAATTCCTAAAATAATGTATTTCTACAGTATTTCTCACTGCAGATGTGTAGAATTTTAGGAGACCACAGATACCTCAGCTGTTCAAGTTTATTGGATATGGTTTGGAGATTATTTTGACCAGAGCAAACTGATAGGTATCAGCAACTTCAAGTATTCCTTGATGTCTAGCTGCTCTCACTTTCACTTCTCTACCTCCGCTTTAAATATCTTGGTAGTTGTTTCTGCTCCTGCAACGTCCATAATGATAAAGGAGGTAGAGCAGTACAAGGTTAAAAATGGACAACAAGCCAACAGCAACATTAAATCCGATAAAAATATCTGTGAAGAACAAAAAATAAATTAAAAGGGAGTTAATGAAAGACATATATATATACCATTTTATATGCAAAGCTAGCAGTCTAATTACATATATGTACAATGGAAATATTTTTGACAAGATCACATTTACTGGCATATGCAAGATAAGAACATATACTTCAATCCTAGAAATTTATAGATTGCTTCCTGTGCATAGGTGAATCTTACTCCCATGTTCCCATAGGGCAGGAGAGCCTATGTGTAGTTAATAAAAAAAGAAAAATACTTTCATCAGGGGTCAGTAAAATGGTGAATGTATGCAGGACAGGGGAAATAATGAGACTATTGAAAAGTAACATGTGTTGCCTTGCTCTTCTTCTCCCTCCCAGAAAGAATATTCAGGCAGGAAGAGGTTATCAGCTCTGTTAGTAGATCATGGATCAGCTGCACTCAGTACAACTGCAGAAACACAGGTGCACAAATCTTACCATGCATTTGCAAGCCATTTTTGCTTTGCATTTGCAGAAAGTATCCAACATGAACAAGACCCTCTTATATCACCAACATCCATACTTCTCTTAGACGTTTCAACAAGTGGAGATCTAGTTTTGACCACAGGCTTTAGGCAGCTCATTTTGTGAATATGCTAATTTAATTTCTACGGACATCCTCGTTCACAGTAAATCTGGCCCCCACTTAAAGGGAAATCTATTGATTGTGTGAAGGGTGCAAAGTTCAGCCACTGATGAAATACCTACCTCCCTGTCTTATGTGGAAAATACAGAACTGTTATACTACCTTTCATTTTGTCTTTCTTCCCACATTCTTTTGACCAGTTTTCTGTAATCACAGGAGAAACTAGTTCAGCAAACTTCTCAAGTGGACAAGAAGAGGTGCACCCTGGCAAAGTGAGGAGATAAGGATCCTTTGAAGTGTCGTTCCGATAATACATTTCGATGCTATATTGCCTGGTTAACAACATTGAAAAGTTTTTTTAAAAACTGGTACTTAAATAGAAGGTTTCCTACTTCGAGACAGCATGTTGGAAATAGCCTCTAACACCTTACTCTAGAACCTGTTCTCCAAGAGTGGAGGCATTGTGAAAGACATCTGCAAAGCCCACTTTGCCAAAGCTGTTAATTTAACAGCACTGATCAACAGTGAGCTGAAAAGGTCCTTCTGCAGGCTCCTTGAATGCACCAGTACTGGGCTCTTCTATGCCAGCTGGCTTATTGTGGGAGTTATGTCTTGGAAATGTTCTTGCTATCATCTGAAGAATCAGGAAGAATTATTTTACCATTTTCTTCCCTCTCATAAGGCTTGTTTTACCTTTTTTCCTGTCTTTCAAAACATACATGCACATCCAGAAAATGTAATTTTCCCTAGTATTAATATGACTTTGTGCCTATGGGCTGTTAGTAAATTATCTATTTAAATCAAAATTGTATCTTTTCACAATATTTGAGAGAAAAATGGTTTTGGGGACGAGGGTAGCAAATTCTAAACACTCTTTCTTGCATAAATAAGAAGATACTTGCCCATTGCTTTCTTGGTAGAGTTCAAAAAACTGGCAAGCAGCATATGGTGGCAGTTTTCCATTGAAAATATTGAGAGCAATCTGGAGGGCCCCAACTGTGGTGTCATGCTATTGAAGAAAAAAAAAAATTCCATCTTTTACAGTCAATTAAGTCAACTAGCACTAAGCCAGAGTTATGAGACAAGAGTAGAGAGGGAGTGGAAATCAAGATAAAAGAAAACCTGTGTAAATTTGACTATAAAAATGTGTTCAGTATATTCACCATTGGGAAAAACATGTAAACTGATTACTACAGAGAGCAGGAGGCATTTGCAAAGAGTTACTGCAGTATGTGTCTTACACCATCTGGCAGGATTTTGGAGACATACTGAGGGAAAGCAAGATGTGGTTTGAGTAATAAATCTAGTTTTTCAGTCCATTTTCTCTTTTCCTTCCTTTGGTAGTGTCTTTTGCTCCAAGGTCAGATTAAGGCAGTGTAGAGTAGTATAATCTAGGGCATTTCAAGTGAAGGTACAAGTACTTTTTTTTCTGGTAGTATTCCAGACAAATAGTTGTGTACAAAGACTATTCTCCTTTCTTCCACTTCAGATTTTTTTTCTATTGTTCCTTCTGTTTGGACTCATACAACAAAATCTCAGTTTGGCTTCTATTTTTATGGGATCTGTTACCCACCCACATATAGTTTCTTCATCTACCCATTATCCCTGCTTTTGCAGGGATTATAGGATGAGGAGCTGAAGGCAGGAAGTCCAAACACTGGTGCATAAATTTTGCAAGCATCTTTAAGTATATATATATATATATATATATATATATATATATATACACATATATATATCTTCTAGACCTATTTATATTGTAGTCTAGCAGCTATGGTTTAATTATTATTCAGGTTCTGGAATTTTATAGGCTGATCAGTTTCAAAAATAACACTATACTTTAACTCAGGGTATTAAAGCAGAAGTGAAAAATCTGCATGTACTGCTCTTCCCTCTTCAAAAAGAACATGGTAGTGCTAGAATCATGTAGGAAGGACAGTGAAAAAGATTTGAGGTATCAAGTAGTTTCTATAGGAGAAAAGATTAAATACAGTAGGACTTGGTCTTGGAAAAGGAAATATGGAAGAAGAGTGACAGAAAATAGTAAATTCATTAGAGACCCAGAAAATGTGAATAAAAGCAGGCACACTCTTTTCTTTAACACAAATGTCATTGTCATAGGATGTCACAGATTCCAAAGGTATAAATGAATTTAAAAAGTTATTAGGCAAATTGATGGAAGACAGTCTGTCAAGGGACACTAAACACAGGGACAAATTCTCTCTCAGGAAGTCCCTAAGACACAGATTGCTGGAAGGTTTTATCACTCTCTGCTGGCTTTATTCTGACATTCATCCCTGCCTTTGGCTCTTGTTAGAGACAGAATAATGAATGAGCTAAGCAGATCTTGGCCTGATGAAAGTGGCCCTCTTCACCCTCTAAAATAAATAAAGTAATAGTAGTAGTAATAAAAAAGAACCCACAGAGGAGAGGTTTGGAAGCACAGCTGAAGTTCTGCTATGTGCCAGTATCTTTGGAGCACTTCAGGAAAGATGCAACTAATAGAAACAGCACCATTAGGTTGTAGGAAAAATGAATGATAAAATATATAGTTTTCTTTGCCCTAGTGCCAGTATCTTTGGAGCATTTCAGGAAAGATGCAACTAATAGAAACTGCACCATTAGGTTTGTCATGGTTTGACCCTAGCACAATGCCAAGGCCTCCATGACGAGTATATTTCCAAAAGGGTTGGCCAAATATAGTTTAACTAAAACTGAGGTGAGATCCATGCCTATACTGTATTCTTGTACTGATCGGTGTTTACCTTAAAACACCGATCAGTACACTTAAAGCACTTTAGTTAAACTGTAGTATATTATTCTTTCATTTAACTTACTGATAAAATCAAAGTAACATGTATGAAAGATGAAAATACTCACTGCAGAGTAGACCTCCATTTTTGTTGGTTTTGAAGAATTGGCAGCTTGTTTAATACTGTTTAAAATAATATTCACAAGGACACCTTAAAAAGATAGAAAAAAAGGAAGTGGAAAATGAAGGTATAATGTTTGAATGGAAACAAAAAAGACAATATATTGAGAGTATCAAATATAAGACATCTGCTCAGGCCTCGTACTCATTTTTCAGTTTAATACAGTTTTGTAACTACAGAGAAGATATTGCAGAGGAGAAATATATGATTCATCATCCAGATTAAATGAAGAAGCAGGATTCACAGGAAATCATTTAGAACCATCCTGAGAACTGGTGATAATGACACTTCCAGTTCTGTTATGCTGAGATCTCTCCATTATTTTTTTTGGTTTTTTGTAGTGTTGGAATAATGACAGCTGTGTTGATCTCTTCCTCTTTACATGCCAAAGAAATATTTTAACTATTTACTTCCAACATGTTGCACATTATCGATTCTTTGCTTTTTCCAAAGCTCTTTTTTACTTCTTCTCCAGCCCAAAGGTATTCTAAAACTAATGGGTAAGGGCAGCAGAAATTCCCTGAAGCACTCTGTGGAAAATTCTAAGGAAAGAGGATGTAACTGGTATGCCAGTGAACATTAAATAGTCCTGACCATATGATATGGGCATCTGCCAGCTAACAGGCTTTACTGCAGATTGGAGCCTGTAATTACTATATATTCAATCCAGTGATGTGCATGCCCAGGTGATGGATTTGCTAATTATTCTTTACCTAGATCTGCACAGTAGGTGCATTAGAAAGCCTGGCCTCAAATGTTCCAGCCTGCAAATCTTCAAACTCAATTTTTTGGATTTCCTGCTCATGGATACCTGGGGATCCTATGATAAATTCCTGGGTTGTGTCCTGAAGTAGTGTCAGAATGTGCAGCACAGTCTATGTACCCCAATTTTGGAGCTAAGCAGTAGTTCCCAGTTCTTGTAGTTCTTGCAGTATAGACATAACTGGAATCTCTCAGCTTTTATTCTGATCAGACTGTTTTGGAGCAGCTTTGTATCACTGAGAGAGCTACAAATTTGTTGCCAGTGTTTTGACACAATGTATAACCAGTACATCAAAGGGAAAAAACAACAGTAAACAATTAGAAGAAATGTTGGAGAAACAATCTAACCTACTATAAGATAAGTAATGATCATAACCATGAGGGCCTGATTTATTCCCTTAGTTTTCTATAATATTTCTAAAAAGTCCAAATCCCTTAAAAAATCTGGAAAACCTGAAGATAGTAATTTTTACACCTAGTTGCAGTATTTTATCCATGCAAGTGCCAATATTCAGCACATATTTGAATTCTTAACATGGCATCCAATGTCCATAGTTTCAAATGAAGAGTTTGTTTGGATGATTTTGCATTAGTAAAGTGACAGGATGTTGCATTATCTCCTCCTTTCTTAGAGCTGTACACGTTTTGATTTACCTCCTTGTAGTCTTGATTTCTCTTCTGTTTTATAAACCCCAAATAATGAGAGTAGGGACAATTCTGCCAGTTTTTCCATCTTGTTGATTACATCTTCAGTGGCCCATACAGGAAGAGTGTAATTGTGAATACCCTAGTGGTAAAGGAAAACAAAAGCATGTTTATAATTCACTGGTTTCCATCATCCTGTCATCTACCCTCACACTACTTAGTTTAGACTTTCTGAGGCTGTCCTGCAATTCTCTGCACAGTCTGGTTTTACTCCAGAGTATGCCCTGAAACACATTTTGTGGGAATGGGGATTGGCCTGAAGTGAGTGAAGTGAGGGAAGGGCAGAAGCACCTGAATGAAGGAGATTCTTTGTAGGTATAATGTGCTCTTGCTATAGAGATACATGTTTTAGTGGGAAATACTGCAGACATGTCTTCTTTTCCTTTCTTTGGGTCTTCAGGTTATAAATATGTGATTTTTTTCTGCCTTCCATACAGTTGTCCACATACCGGTTCTATCACTGGGCAGCTAGACACAAGTGTCACTCTGCAGTCATATAAAAGTGACAGCATCTTATCATGTTTAATTACCTCAGTTTGTAGAGGATATGTTCAAAATCCTTTATGCACTGCCAGTAGTGACTGAGGCCAAATGGAATTATCCCATACTTGGGGTCAGTTTGGGTGTTTTAGCAATCACTGTCTCAAAAATTTTTAACTGATAGATCTTTCATGATCTCTCGTATTCAAAATCTTAAGTATTTTGGTGCTTACCTGTTAATAGTTTAAAGCTAATAATTTCATTTCTCTGTTAAAAATCACAACTCTGTTATAGCCATCATGCTGAATAATTCTATAGCAGCATATTGGGAAGGGTAAAAAGGAAATAATGGGAACGGTAACAATTTTTCAAACATGAAATGGAAATTACAATCTCCCAAGCTGTAGACCATGTTTTTCAGTTCTTTTTTATCAAAGCACTAAAATATAACTTAGATTCAAATTAAAAAGAAAAAAAAAAAGAGAAAAAAGTAGGAGACATTACAACTCAATCCAGTGAAAACACATGGCCACGATTTAACTGAAACCCAAAGTTGGAGTTATATTTCTCCCTGGCATCTATTGATATATTATTACCTCACAATGTAGAGTATCATATGTATTCCAGAGCTGGAAATTGTCCAGTATTTTAAGGTGGTTTAGTTCAAGTCCTGTGTTAACTGCCATTGTTTGTAAAAAATCCTGTGGGGAAAAAGTGAACAGTGTACTACAAATGCTCAATGCACATGGAACATACATGCAGATAGATTCACTAACACCCAACCTTTTCACAGAATTAAAGAATAAGCTGAGTTTGAAAGGACCTGTAAGGATCATTGAGTACAGCTCCTGGCCCTGCACATGACATTCCTAAAAATCACTCCATGTGCCTGAGATCTTCTTGAACTCTGTCAGGCTGATGCTGTGACCACTTCCCTGGGAGGCATTCCTAAGAATCACTCCATGTACCTGAGATCTCTGTCAGGCTGGTGCTGTGACCACTTCCCTGGGAGCCTGTTCAATGCCTTACCACCCTCTGGGTGAAGAACCTTTCTCTAATATCTAAATTTGTGGATACAATAGTGTGATCAGAGAGAAAAGCTAGATAAGCTTTCCCATGAATCAGTCTGGGAAACTTTAGGCAGCTGGAAAGAATTCTAAACCATCTGCACCTGGTGTTTTGTAATAAGCTGTTTTGCCCATAAGGTTGTTTACAAATGGGTGTCTTGTTAATTAGCCAATCATGTGAAATTCATTGATTAAATGACCACTCAGGTCCACCTGTATTGGACCAGCGTATAAAAGAAGTGGTTTCAGCTATTTTGCCACTTTGCCTTCTGATTTGACTTTGTGTCATCTCTGATCCAATGATAACATAACCTAAACAGGCTTTTAATTTTTTTTCAATTAGTTTTTGCATTTTAACAAAAGGAAAAAATGCAATTCCTTAACTTCTGCAACTTAGTTACCTTCCTTTTTCTCACATCTTGTGTTTGTTTGGATTTTTGTTTGTTTGGGTTTTTTTCTCTTACCATGTATGGTTGTATTCTACTTTGAAATTCTTTTGATGTTTGTGTTTCCTGCTGAAGTTCATCAAAACGGGGACAGTTGGGCAGAGGAAAGTTCAGCCTCTGAAACATGAAAAGGAACACTTAGAAAGTTCTAAAATTATCAACACCCCTCTGTTTTTTCTGTTGCTGAGATTAATGGTGTACCATTTTTTAGACAGATTCATGGTTGTGCTAGACCTACTCAATAATTGTTTGGGTACTTTAATAATGAATTCAGTTAATCATGAATTCAGTTAACATAAGTGATAGACTGTGGTATCTTGACTTTTCAATGGCTACTTGTTTCTGTGATAGCTTGATTTCCCTCAATTTAACTGATTTTGGTAAAAAGAAATGATATATGCCTGTCAAGGGATTGCTTTGACAAATGGGTCAGGGTCCATGATCAGAAATTTTTAAAAGCTGCAATTTCCCTCTCATTTTCTGTATTTTCCCAGATGTAAGTTAACTCCACCTGGTACTGGAAACTGAATTGCTTCTCCATCTATAAATCCAGGTTTCATCTCTTTGGAGATAACCAGTGGATTATGGTAAGCATTTTAAATACTACTTAAAAGAACTTGAAACAAGAGTGATGAATTGTTCTTCTGAAATATCAAGAAGCTATGGGCCTAAGGGCTCTGTTCTTGTTTAGGGAAATGGTTCACTTTTAATTACTCCAAGTGTGTGCATTATGAGGTCACATGATAGTACATATTTGATCTGAACAACATGTAAATACATGCATCTTTCAAACCCTGAGCTCTGAAAAATATGTTTTATATCAATTGCACAAAGACAAATGATCCCTGATACAGCATAAAATGTCAGTGAAAAGCCACATTGAAGAAAACAAGTTTGTGCTGGTACGGCACTGTATGCCACATCACTAAAGCATTTTTGACCCAGCACTAGTATTATCCTGTTACATTTACATTTACAGACTGCTCTTCCAGCATGTTTCCTGTGGGACATTGGCAGCAGCCATCAACAGACCTCAGCCCACTTTCACTTGGATAGATTTCCAATGGTCCAATTTTTCTGTAACAGTGGCACACTGAAGGATGAAAGCTTAAAGTTGCAATATGAAACTGGGGAATGTTGTTTAATTACACAATAACAAATGTTTCTCTTGCTGTATGTCTTAATTATCGCTCTCTAAGTGTTATTAATCAAGCCACTCCTTTGGCTTCAATAAGCAATACTCAGTACTGTTGCCTGTCAAGTCTTGATTGATCTCAGCAGCTTAAAAATGAACTGTGATTATGGTTTTTATACAGGACTGTACCTGGCTTCAGTTTCCCACTTTGTGTTGCTTGGGGCTTGAAAATACCTTCAAACATCTGCTTGGTTTAACAAGGGAACAGTGGTTTTGTTCCAGGTGGTTTGCATTATAAAAGGCATTTTGTGTTGCTGCAGAGGTGTGTTTGAGAGAAGCATCAACACTCACTCCTGAAGCAGCCACAGAAGTGATGAGGCACTAGAGACTCCTACAAATGAGCTTGCCTTCCTCAAACAGGTTATTTCATTGCACTGTGATTCCCCTAAGGGCTTTGAGGTACTATGTGGCCAAAACTGTAACCACTTTGATGTTTTTCTTGTCTTCTGGTGAAAGGGTTTCCTCTGGTGTCCTGTATTTAAATAACAATGACAGTGTTCTTTTCTGTTTAGGAACAGGGTTAAGTTTCTGGCTGAATCACACTTGCCTAATTCAGTTTGTGTGAACCCTTTCTCTCTGTACCTCTTTTCAAACGTGGTCTCTAAGAATGGAGCAACATCAAAGGGAGAGAGGTGTGGCAGCCCCCTAATGAGTGAGTCTGATGTTGGTGATGGGCAGTTATGTAATAGAGGGTTTGTACAAATTTTATTAAAGTCAGCTTCTGTCCTCAAAGCCAGAAGTAAATGAGGTTTTCTGTTATTACACTCACAAGCTTTTTACTCTTGTTGGCCACACTGTTCCTTACACAGTCCTTGTCACAAGAGCAAGTGAAATTAAAATCTAAACCTGAATCAGCCAGAGTGAGCTATAGGAAGTAAAACTTCTACAGGACCTATTATTCAGGTCGGCCTACTCTTATGATCTGCAAGAGAAGTGCTAGGGTTTCATTAAGTATTTCTATAGCACTGAGCATAAAAGAGCCCTTGTCTGTAATTAGAATGCCTAAGTGCTACCAGAATAGGAAGGTAATACTTTTGAGGTCATTACTGTGGCTGGTGGAAATTCAATTCCTTAAATAAACTATAGAAAAAACTTGCCAAAGAGACAAGATATGCCTAGTTGAGTGGCATTTAGGAAAACACTTGTTTCCTATAAAGATTTAGAAGAACTTCCCTAGAATACTGCCCAAAAGTGTTCTGGTCAGAAAAACTAACCTCAGAGAAAATGGTTGTGTGTGTGTGATAATTCAGGTATTCTGCAACTATGGAAGGAGGATTTTCATGTAGCTGTTACAGTTGACCTATGACATACTTGTCAGCCAGTAGCTCCATTTGATATTTCCTATTATGTTGGACTCAAAAAGCTTTAAAAATGCTTTTTAGCTCTTTTCCTTTTTTCTGTTCTTTTGCTTCTGTGAAAGATTAGGACCTTATAGAATGCTTCTAGCCAGTACTCACCTGCTCTGCTGTTTTTTGAAAAATGTGGACTGGAATGGGTTGCCAGAGAAGGTCAGGGTTCCAAATTTGGCTGCTAGTTGGTGGAAAGAGGCCAGAAAGATATGACTGGGCACTCATAATGGTGCGATCATAATCTGTACTTTGGATGTAAAACTGAAAATAGAATGGCAAAGAATTAAAGATTAAATGGAAAAGATAAAATATTAGGGAAATTTTACCTGACTTGTCAATACTGACTTCTTGTTTTTAGTGTTATATTTTTTCATAAAGTCAAAACAGTGAAACTGTAACTCAGCTTTCCAGGGTACTACCTCAGTTTCACAAATGGAATTTCTAAGGCATCTTTTAATTTGGAATCTAGCCTTCAGAGTGAACTGAAAGAATAGGAAAATATTATTTCAAAGAAGGATGGTCTCTATCTTATTTTTCTCAATCTTAACATTGATACATATGATTTAGTGGTGGACAGGTTAACAATTGGACTTGAAATTCATAAAGGTCTTTTCCCACCTAAATGTTTCTATGGTCTATCAGTCATCAGGAATGTTAAAGTACTCAAAATATAAACTTCTCTTGGAAGCACAGCAAAGGTCTTTCATATTTTCCCATAATGCATGCCTCCTAAACAGACCAAAATGTTAGAGGTGTCTTCTCCACAATGGATCTGTACTGTGTGATAAGCACATCCAAAGAGCTGTTAGAACTCTCTGTTACAGGAGGAAGTGTGTAAGCATGGCCCATCACAGGACTGGAGAGGTATTTAGCTGTACAGTGACCATTATTGTCTTAGTCTGTTAAAAATTCCCAACTTATTCATCGTGGAGCTGTTCAGTTTGGGAAAATTAGGTTGTGAAAGACCCAAACAGAATGTAAGAGCTGAAAAATAGATGTTATTCTGGTTTTATCTTGACATAAGTCTGACTTTCAAAATTGTTTTTCTATTACCCTAATTTCTTCATTAATGAAATTAGTATAATAATGTGCTTTTATAAATCCATACTTCTGCTATGCCAGAGAAACATGCTGCAGACAGTTCTGCTCTGTACCTCTTGCCGGTTGTATGTGCTGTTCAAGAAGCTGGAATATCGTTTCCTCATGTACTGCCCAAGTTCAAATAGCTGCTGCATTCCAGTCTGTAAGGCAAGCATATGAATAACTACTAGATTAAGGTTACTAGAGACTTTTAGTGTAAAATTGTCTTCTTTTTTTTTGTCTTCAGCAATCAACTTTTAAGTGATCATTAAGTGGTTGTAGAACATACTGTTATTGTGGTTTAAACCTAGCTGGCAACTGAACACCACACAAGTGCTCTCTCACTGCCTCCTGGTGAAACTGGGGAGAGGATCAGAAGAGTAAAAGTGGGAAAACTCCAGGGACTGAAGACAGTTTGATAAGAAAAGCAAAAGCCACTTAGCTTTTAAGTGATCATTAAGTGGTTGTAGAGCATACTGTTATTGTGGTTTAACCCTAGCTGGCAACTGAACACCACACAAGTGCTCTCTCACTGCCTCCTGGTGAAACTGGGGAGAGGATCAGAAGAGTAAAAGTGGGAAAACTCCAGGGACTGAAGACAGTTTGATAAGAAAAGCAAAAGCCACACATGCCAGCAAAGCAGAATAAGGGATTTATTTACCACTTCCCATGGACAGGAAGGTGTTAAGCCTCCAGGAAAGCAGAGCCCCATCCCAGTTACTTGGGAAAACAAACGACATCAAGCTGAATGTCTGGCCCTTCCTCTTTCTCCATCCAGTTTTATATGCTGAGCATGGCATCATGTGGTACAGTATATCTCTTTGGTCAGTGGAGATCTGCTGTCCCAATTGTGTCCCCTCCCTACTTCTTGTGCACCCCCAGACAAACTCAGGGTGGTACAAGAAGCAGAACAGTCCTTGAATCTGTAAGCCCTGCTCAGCATTAACAAAAACATCCCTGTGTTACTAGCACTGTTTTCAGCACAAATCCAAAACAGAGCCCCATACCAGGTCTCTCTCAGCCAAAAACAGAACGACGATGTGTGTTGCAGGTGATCTAGAATTTTTACTAGAAATGGTCACTTACATCTATGAAAAAATTCTGTGTTCTGAAGTGCTAAGATTGCAGCACCTGCTAAAGAAAGACAATGCCCCCGATTCCATACAAATACTATTTCCTCAGAACTGTAGGTATGTAGACACCAATCAACATTGTCCTTTAGAATGTATGTCAGTGTCAGCTGAGAGAGGATGATTGACAGCCTAGTATTTATCACTGTCATTTCCCTGTTAATTGTCCAGCCTTATCCATTTGTGGCTTATATTTCATGCTTTAAGTAGCATTCTTCTGTCTTTGCCTTTGTGTGCCTGCAGTTGTCTTAGGTTGCAGACTGTTTTTCTGTTATTTATTTCTAAAGCCTGAGCTGAACTTTTTACCTTCTACCTGTCAGAGAAGTACATTCCTACTACTGTTTTTAAAAAGATAGCAAAATAGAAAGAAGCTCTCAAAAAAGCCAATGCCAAAGCAGGAACATCTTAGTACATAAGCTAGTAATAAGACAGTAATGCATTTCTTCAGTGTGTGAATTTTACAGATCTTTCAAGTCCCTTTCAAACATTAAAGACTGAACTGTCTCTATTTCATACTTCTGCACCATGACAAAATGTTATTATGAAATGCATTGGCTTTCTTTTGCTCCAGAGTGTCATATGTCAAATACAAAGTAGGTTCAGTGCATCCTAGTGAAGCTCTGGACTGCAAGTGGCCTTGTTAAGAAGACACATTGTCCCCAGAAGCAACCTTCTCCTCGTCTTCTTTTGTTTTGTGAATTGGTGGTTGTCAGCCCAATGATGAGAGGTGGACTCGTCTCGCTTGACTTGGTGGGCAGGTGTCATATCTTTGACCTGTCACAGGGCTCAGTACTTAATGGTCATTAGAACTTCATCAGTGTTAACAGTACAGTGTTGAATCTTGCCATTTGTTTGAAAGCAGATGATGCACTATCAAGAAGTTGTTGCTTTTAGGAAGGTAATTATAAATCTATGATGAACAAGATTTCAATTTAACAATAGCTGAATGAAAAACATTGCAAAAATGTTTATGAATTACTGGTATTGGTATTTGCTAATAGCAACAATCAGAACCTGGGATTTGCTAATGCTTTTGAGACACACACACAAAAAATATCTTCCCACTTCCTCTTTTAGAAGCATTTTAAAGTTCTTCTTAGAAAAGTCAACATACCTTGGTGAGCTGTCCAAATCCCTGGGGCCATTCACTTTCTTTGTGTAGATCAGTTGGAAAGTTCACAATTGGTGTTCGGTCACCGTGTCGGAAAAGCTGACAATGTAAGCAATAACAACCCCTTGAGTTCATTACTGTTAACAATCTTATCTAACTAGTAGCAAAGCATATATTATACTTCCAGTGTCATTTTTCAACTGAAAATGTTGGAGAGTCTGCAGAAACCTGGTCAAGTAGGATGTGAATACGTTCTTTAAAATCAAGATTATGTATAATTATATTAGAATTAAGTGGGCATAAGCCTGATGATCCTTCATCCTAGAACATTAAAATAATCACTCAAGATGTTAAAGTTGGGATTGTGTTCACAGCTAGGCATCTAGACAGGAAATATGACTGAATTTTGGAAACTCAGTGCCTCTGAATATTAAGCCAGTTACTGATGTGCTTAGATTAGTATTTAATTACTATGTCAGAGACACTTGAAATTTTTTGGTAACCTTTTCTTCATAGCAGTATCTTTAAAAGTAATTCTATGTACATATGGATCTTATGCTCTTTTTCTCAATCATCCTAAAATGTAAAGATAAGAGTATAAACATTTACATTGTTAGCTCAATTAATACTTTCTTAGTACTTTTACATGCATATATAAAAATATTTTTTAAAGTCTTTAGGATTTTATTTTTATCAAATTTGGAGAGAGCAAAGAGTTTGGTTGCTTTATTATCCTGGACACTCCAGCATGGTGACTATTAGTGTGATGCATTCAATCATATGATTTTTAATCAGAAAAATTAAATGAACCTTTTTGTGTTTTGATTCCAGCATACAAAGGAAATTACAGCCCTAGATTAAATGGTTCTGGAAAACTGAATTATCCCCCCATAGCATATGCTGCATAGGCTTAGAAAAATTAAATCCACAGAAGTTTCACATGAAATAAAATGCTGACCCAGATTGTAGGGTAATAAAATTAAGCTTTGTTTATCAATGTTCCCATCAGCAACTTCATTCCTGACTTAGCACAATAAAATGACAACATAGCAGCATGGTATATTTGTTAATAAAATGACATTTATGCCTTAATACCTTAGTGGTGCATAACCTGCTTATAATTAATACTCTCCATTGCCTCATTAAGCTACATCATTCTTGCCCAGACATCAGAGAGAGTTGTTCACACTAGTTAGTTTGCCACTCCCACTGGGAGGTGTTTCACATTTATATTTTTCAAAGTAAACATCAGCGGTGTGACTTAATGTTTTAATTACAACACACACCCTTTCCATCAGCCTAATGCACACGAACCTGTGCTAGAGCAGGTACTTCAGAGATGGAAAATGCTGTCCAGTAAAGGCAAATATGATTGGATTTCTCCCTCTGTTCATTTTCTACAATAGACAATGAAGTTTGCTAGAGTATAAGTTACCATTAGAACATGTATGTTTTTTGTTTTGCCAGTTTAATGTCACTATGTGGCCAACCTGAAATGAATATTTTGCAGTGAATCAAGGAAGGTTTTCACCCTCATCATCAAGGTTTTTTGGGTTTTTTTCGTTTTTTTTCCTTATTTGTGCAGTTTTAATCCTCATTTCTTATAATTTTGAATCTCATTTGGTTCTTCATAAAAATTTCTCAGTGCACCTGTAGTCAACAGGAAAATAAGTGAAGAGCTATGTTGTCTGGTGGCTGATTCAGCTGAGTGCAAGAAAAATGAGTGAGAAGGACTTTTGTACTACTGCTCATTTCCTTATTTTGATGTACATAGGTATCAGGTAGGATTCATTCGTTTTTCTGGACAAGCTGGTACCTGTGTCAAGAATGAAGGTTAAATTTCCAATTACAGCATAGCTGCATCCTCTCTTGTTAAATTATCCAACTTCACACAAAAGCATTTTTATGGATAATTGACAAATGTTCAAACTGACTGATATGTTTAAATGACTAATTTTTATGTATATTTTAGGCAATAACTAACAATAGATCAACACTTGGCCATAAATATGCCCTTTTTATTAGTGGAAAATTACTGGCAACATGTTAGATTTTGAATACTGGTTTGTGATGTTTTATGTTCAATGTAAAGCATAAACCTGAGTGTGTTACAACAGCCAGTCCCTAACAGCTTTCAATAAGCCAGAATAGCATTTTATCTGAATAGACATTAGTGTGCAAAAAGATCAAGATCAAAAGAGATATTGAATATGTGAGCAGGAGACATAAAGAAAAATATTTTATTTCTTTGTAACCTTAAGAAATTAAAGGAGTGGAGGTGTGCTCTTCTAAAAAGAAGCTTAATTTCTTTAAGTCCACACAAAAGAGGAGATAATTAATAATTACGTTCCTTGTTCATATTTCTGCACCTTCATTGCACAGTGTCACATAAATATGATGTGAACACTAAGCTGGAAGCAGCAAGAAGGGAACAAACACTTAAAGAAGCAGAACCCCATTTTTAGGAATTTAAGGACAAAGCTTCTTAGACAGCTGGTTTTTGTATGTGTTCAAACTTGCTACTTCTGAAAATGACTTTGCTTCAGCTGAAATGACCACATGAACAACCACTTAACCTGAAAGACTAACTCGTTTACTCACAGCTACATCTTAGGAGACTTTTTCTAAAATTTGAAACTATGTTTTTCATTAGAACACCTGATAGGAAAAGAAACTGTATCACTGAAGATCTTACCTTACTCATCAGTATATGTTTCTCAACAGTATCATTTCTACTTTGTTAAAAATGAGTGGATTCTTCAAATTAATTTAAAAAAATGTGTGCTGCAGCATTTATTACTCCTGGCCTACAGATTGCCTTACTGACATTTCAGGAGACACAAAACATGGCAGAATGAGAGAAGAGGAGCAAGGAAGCATTATAAAATGTGAAAAGACACCAGAAATCAAGAAGGAGGGGATGGTAAGGGGAGCGTACACAAGAAGAGCAAAACTGATCTGTTTGCTATATTAATTTTGGCACTCCTTTTGAAGTGCTTCAGTTCTCTAAAGCAGTAGGTGAATAATTACCAAATTCATTACCCTCTCCTTCCACTCTGATACAGCTTGAATCTGATTTGGTGTCTGGGTTCATCTATTCACTCTTGCTAACTTTGTGAGCATGATCACTTCATATGAAAATGGTCACATGCCTTAGACTTTGGCCAGCATTTGCTTCCATTGTTGTCAGGTGAAAAATCATTTTGGAGACAAACTGGTGCAGGGGAGGGGGTGCCCTGAGAATGTAGCATGTGTAGCATACACACACACACACACACACACACATATATATATACACATAACATCTTCATTTAGAAATGCCATGAATTACAGTGAAGTATGTGTCTCTGAGTAATAGTGAGCCTCTTGCAGACACTTTCATTGACAGACTTAACTTTAGACAAAATATCTCTTACTTTGAAGCCAGCAGGAGGAAGGAAGAAACAAAAGTGAAGTGAAACCATCATGCTGGCAGTTCAGGGAAACCAGGTGTAGAAATATCAAGCATGTTTAGTCAAGGTTTCAGATGGCTTGGCTTGATTAGAGAAATCACGCTCAGAGATAACATGTTCAGTCAACGCTTCCTATCCTGATTTACAAGAAGAAAAACATGATGAAACCACAATGCCTCAGAAACCACACCTCTTTGTATATATGACAGGTGAAATGTATGTGTGTGTAGAGGCAGAAGGTCCAGGTTAGAACTTCTGTAAACCAAGGCAATAAATCAGTACTTTGTTTCTATTTAGGTGCCTGATTGTCCTACATATTTCCTATTTTGTTCTCTCTTTAAACTTTGTGGTTTTAAATTTAAATTCTGCCTTTAATCTTAAATTTGTTGCACAAGAGTTATGGTAAAAGCTAATGTTTACATGTAAGCAAAGAAATTTAAAAAGCATTTTTACAAATTGGCTTGAATTAGAGCTTTTCAGAGAACTGGGCCTGTGGCCAATAATCAAAACACACAGAATCAGCACAAAGTTGGAAGTTGTGAGGAGAGAGTGATTCACGTTCCCAGGCACAGCACAATACTAGAAGTGAGAAAAAGCGAACATTTATCTGTGTTTCTTCACCCCTGCAGATGTATTTTATATTGTGCAGTTCTGCTAAGGAAGTTTTAAAAAGTCATTGTGACAATTTTCACACTGCTGTAATATTCCCAGGTGAAAACATATTAACTTACAGGACAGCTGGAAAATGGCTATTGAAGTATGTCAGAAAGATGCCTTTCAGATTTACCTTGACTGTAGCAATACCCTCATTATATCCCATTAAATCAGTGATATATTCACTGATGGGGTCAATTCCTATGCTGTATGTTTATACTAGCAATTCTCTTTCTATGAAAATCCACTGATTTCAGAAGGCAAAATTCAATAGACCATACATAAACCATGCCTTGAGAAAAAAAGATGTATATTGTGATAAGATTAAACCTATTGTAACATTTCATGTGATTGGTCAGCCTAAGCAAAAGTAACAGGATTAAAAGGAACACAGTATAAATGAAATTTACCCACTCTTTAATGTTTATTGTGACAAACTACCCTAGAAATTGGTTTTTGGTTTTTTTTGTTTGGTTGGTTTTTTGTTAGGTTATGGTAAGCACAGTTATGATAAGCAGATGATTTTGGATAAGAAGTCTCTATCTCCATAGTGGTAACTTTTCCAAAACCATTCTGCAAAACCATTGTTTTTCAAAACACAATAACAGCTACAATTCAATTAAAATCTCATTTCTTTCAGGGAGTTAATGCTCCAAGGCTTGCTGTATACCTGTTTTCATCTGTGTGTCTACTGTTACCAGTTACCAGAAAAAACACGTAAGTATATTTCTGTATACAGAATGTTACTGGAGTTAGCGTCAGGTCCCTGCTATGTGTGATGTCTCAGCAGGAGTAAGAACTGGTTTTTCCTGTGCACTCTGGCTTTCCTCCAAGCTGTGCATGCACAATGCACCCAATGTGGCTATACATGAAGTACTCTATCTAGAGTCAGAAGATATGTTTTGGAGACAGTACTGCACACATAATGTCTCAAATATGGACAGGCTGAAGGAGAAGATCTTCAATTGCCTATTTATAAAAGTTCATTCCAATCCCCTCAACTTTTTACAAAAAACATTCCTTTGGACTAACTGTTCCTTATCATTATACCTTTTATTTATAAAAAGAATTAAAAGGACCATGGTTCAAGCTTCATAATCCAAAGTATTACATTGAATTAAATGTCTCCTTTTCTAGAGGTATTTGGGAAAGTGACATTGAAGTAGTCACTTAGCTACTTTGAGATAAGAAATGGCCCAGCAAAAGAATTATTAGAGTCTGTTTTCAGCCTAACTGAAGTCAATACAACATGTCTCTTAAATCTCAACTTAAAAATGCCTGTCTATTTAATTTCTCAGTGTACTGCTGTGACAATGCAGTTATTGTGAAATGGAAAGTCTTTTGTGTGTTTATGTGTGGTAACTTCTTAACATGATAAGCTTCAGGTTGCAAGCATAGAAGAGGTAGGTCCATTATCACCAGCTCTCACACTATGCATTGGAGTGTCAGCTAAACTAAGGAAGAATAGGTAAATGTGGACTTTGCATCTTTCAACTGCTCTGCACTATGCATCTACCACAAAGTCAGTTATCTTGAAATAATAATTAGGAGATTAGGAGATGAAAATTTGAAGATGAAAGTAGGAGATTAATTAATTAGGAGATTAGGAGATGAAAATTCTAAGAACTAGAGACATTTTTTTCTTTCTTTAGGTGAGGTCTTTAAACTCAGTAAGCAAAAGGACAGTAGTACTTATTTCTAAGTCTGAAGACAAGCAAAGAAACTGTACACCTTGTCTGATTCAACAGACATGTAATTCTGTCCCTGTATTCCCCACAACAAAACAGAGAACATATCTACTTACTACAACCACAAACTTCAGTTCTCGCGCTGCAGTAGTCTGTTGAAGCAGAATGAGAATAATGTGAAAAGAAAAACACAGGATCCTAGACAAGCTGGGAAGATGTATCACACCCATCCTGACAGAAGAGGAAAGAAAGACTTTGTAGCTCCAGCAGCTGCTCAGGCTCAATTGTGAGACGTCAGGTTGTACCTTCAGAAGGGTGGAACTGCCGCTGGTGCATTTCAAATCCAAGAGGAATGTTGTGTGACTACGCAACAAATTGCATCGCCCTTTGTTTCCAAATTACTGTTTACATTCTTTTTAATCAAATCATAATTCAGTTCCTTTTTTTTTCCTGTAATATTTTACTCTTTTGGAGTGTGAGGATGAAGTTAAAATACAAAGGAATTGCTAAGCATTGCTAATATTTCAACCTACCTGTTCTGTTTTGACTTTTCTGTGGCTGGAATTTTTCCAAACTACAGCCACAGGAATGAACCATGAACTAGGCAATAGTTTCTCTTTGCTGCTCAGCTAGGCCACTTTTCAGCCAGCCCTCCCTTTTTTCCCCCCTCTTCCACATTATCATTGTAAAATCAAAATAATTATTTAAAATAAAATTTCATGTGGGTTAAAATTGCCAGTGTCTCAGATAAAATACTCAAAAAATTTTGTGACAAGTATTTTCTTTAAGATCCTTGCTGGGCAGTTATTTGCTCTTCAATTTGCATGTGTTATTTTGCTTTTCCCTTGGAGTATTCCTAGACTTCTCCTTTGGAACTACTTATGTCAAGATGTTTTTTGGCCTCAAATCCTTAAGAAATTTCTTCTTCCTCTCTATAAAATAAGAAGAATGATACCTGTAGACATGATTTCATAAGCACTTTTTGAGTAATGAATTAGTTTGCAGAGATCTTTAAGTAGAGTTCTTTAAATGCTGAAATTTTAGGTCCTTTGTGTATTGTCCTTTCCTATCATGCCCAAACCTGTCTCAGGGTCTTCTGCTGAGGTCTCTGCAGCAGCATTTTCTACAACAGGTGCGTCACCATTTACCAGAAATTCCATCTTTAAGGCCCTAAAGCCCACTAAGCCTCAGGTATCCCCTCCTCTGACTTGTGTGAATGTCTTTATGTATCCACATTTTCTGATGGATGGGACTGGATGGGAGGAGTATGACAGATCCTAAACTTTCCTGTCTGTCTTCTCAATCCATTCCCAGTTTTCAGCAGTTGGACTTCTTTCTTCCTCCACTGTTCTGTCCCCACCCTCCTTTTTGATCTCTCCTGGTGTGATTTTTGCCTATGCAAAAGGTTCATGAGAGTTCATAAATATATAATATGCTGTCTTTCTGAAAACAAATATAAGCTGATCATCTTCCTCCATTATTTAAGAGTGTAGGTCATAAAACAGACTGTCAGAATACTTTAATATGTCTCAAAACTCAAGAATGGATGTCCTACTTTTTTAATCTATGTAATGGGTGGTTCCTAAGCTATTTGATCAAGGATCACTGTTTGCTCTCAGAATATTTTCTTATCCTTCTTATGACCTTCCTACGAAATTCATAACTGATTTGTTTTTGTAAGATTTGCTGGTTTATTGTTTTCATTGATGAGTGACTATGACCACTGTAGTCTCACTATTATGGAACCATTCTAATGACTTCACTTGAGGACCTGAACTCAATTTATTGGGACAGGGAGGGTATTCTGGATGGCATAATTCAAGAATGTTAAAAAATATATGGCAATGACATTTTAAAGAAAATCTTTGCTAATATCTCTTAAAAATGAGACTTCAACACAAGACCAAGCCTATGGTAAATAGTAGTAATTTCTGTGGTTTCACTCTTCCCTTGGCACGTATGCTTTGTTAGGGAGACTATTTTGTGCCCAAAATAATAGGTACCACAACAACTTAAGTAAATGCTTGCACATTCCAAAATGGAAAACAATCCTCATATTGGTTAAGATAAGAGTCATGTAGAAATCCTGTATGCAATCTGTAAGTATGTTGGTAGTATGTATTCAATTTGGAAATTTCCTTGAGTTTCTGCAATTATCTCAATTTCTACTGGCCATTTGGCAGGTATAAACTCAGCATATTCTGCAGTAACTAAATCCTGTCACTTTTCAGGAAAAGTTGCTTCAAAATATTAATAATTTAAAAAGTCCTTCTTAATCTATTTACGGTCGTTGAAGTGTTATAGTGCAAGTGAACCTAAACAATGTAAATCATTCTTATGTTAATTTGACTTATTGTCATAAGTTCTAATTATGATATTATTACATTAAGTAGAATTAAGCACAATTATAAATTTTAAGTGCACGTACCTATCTTAAAGGCTTGCTGAAGCCCTGATTTGCTTTGAAGTGGCTGGTTGCAAAAGAGTCTGTGCTTTATTGCACACAAGGGTTACTTGAGGTAACCACTGCTGCTGGTGGAGCACAGCCTACACCCTGAAAGGGTGGAAGTCACTGCAGTCAAAGCACCAGGTGTGAAACTGCTGCCAGCACTCATGAACCAGGCTGCTTACGTAGGGAAACAGCTCAGGTCCTGCTACTGACTGCATGTGCAGATCAGCGATTAGCATGGTTGATTTATCTGCAATCCTTTTTTCCAAGCTTTTTTTTGTTTTTGGGCTGAAAAAGGGAAAAGAAAAGATTTCATTTCAGTAAAAAAGTGACACATTTTCCAAGCACCATTCTGAAACATGAGGAAAACAAGACTGTCTCACAGTCCTGTGTGAGGGTGTTTTCACCCAATCGTGGGGAGTGGGAAGGGACTGGGAGTTAATTTGTGACATGGAATCACTTACTTGTACTGCTGACAGAACATGAACCTGTATCTTAGACTACAGAGGAAAATGTCCTAAGCCCAAAGTTACTAATCTATAGCAGGTGTGGGGAAGAAACTGTCTACTCACTGTCTTCTAATAGTTTCTTGGTTGTCTCAAGTTTGTAATACACACCTGGTTACAGGGCAGTCAGAGAATTTCTTCTTGATCTTATGAGATTAAGCTGTTTGCCTGAGACAAGGGAAACCTAATTTGCAGGTTTTTCAAAGTGAACAAATAACTAAGAGACAAAAAACACAATTCTTATCTTTCCTCTCTGAAACTCTGCAGTTTGGTGATTTTATTTTCTGGAGAGGTAGAGACAAATCCTTTTGCTAAAGGAGGGATTTGAACTTGTGTCTGCCACATCTTGGGTAAATACTATAAACATTAAATAAAAAGAAGAAACACCTACTTCTAGTATTACTATGAAATAAATCTAAATTAGTTGATTAATTTGATCAGATTATGCATTGTTTTGGGTTTTTCTTCTTTCATTCATTTTTGATAGTCAGTCAGCTCAGTAAATAACCCAAAGAAAAACAGGTGATGAAATTAATGAAAATGATAGTTCAGGCTGTCCAGTGCCACCTTTCCCAGGGAGCACAAAATTACTGTTGATTTTCTGTTGTTCATTCCCCATTTTACTGACACTGCTTCAGCATATGAAAGAAAAAATAGTGATCACAAGTTATATCCAGCTATATTACACCATCTATGACTATTCAGGTTATTGAAGCAAGTCTTCTTTAAAATATGACTGTCTATTTAGGCATTGCTTGTGAAAGGAGAGAGGGAGTTTCATATCCAGGTGATCCTGGTTTTGCAACAAACTTAAAAAATAGGTAATCTAAATAATTCCAAAGTCAAACTGTTTTTTCTAATTTTGACTCACTTCTTCTTTAAGAGGAACTGAAATGAACCTGTTCATGACTTCATGCCTGCAAAAGACTGTAAGACAGATTTTTCAAATTAAGTCAGCTGGTGAAATTGTAGGAAAACATAATTTAGAGCAGTTTATTATTCATTCACTGACAGCCCAATTTATATTCCTACAATAGATCTGGGCTTTATGTTCCAGCCTTTATAAACACTGATGCTTATTTTCACTCTGAGTTAGTGAGGTATAAAGGAAATCTTCCTTTCTGTGTTTGTACAATGATAGTCTTAACAACAAAAAGCATTACAAAGAATGTGTGTGATGGGGTTTCTGTTCAGTAGGAATAGGGGGAATAAAATAGAAATGTCTTAATTTGTAAATTAAATTTGAAATATATTTTTGCTCAAGAGAAATTAGGTTATTCAAGGTATATACACTAGGGCATGTAGCATGGAAGCAGATATTGTCTCAACATGTGATGGAAAAGGGGGCCTTACATTGTTGTACTGTAAGCAGTGACCTCACATAGGATGCATTTCCATAAATGAACTGAAGGGCTGAGGCCAGGGTCTATTCAGGTCCATGATAGACCCAAACCAGACAAATCTCTGGGGCAAAGGATCTTCATGCAGCTTTGAAAGTTTTTGTGACATGGATTTGGGTTAGGAAGGAGGGGAGGAGCTGGGAAATGGAGACTAAAGAGAATAATGAAGAATGTCTCAGGTCTCTATCACATTTTTTATGTCAGCATTGTCCTATTCAGGAAACTAACAGAAAAGTTACTCTTAATTTTGATGGGAGAATCATGAAACTTACCCTTTATAGCTCTTGAACTTTCACTTCTAAACATCTAGCCAAAAAAAAGTTAAAAGCAACTGAAGCACCACAATTTGGCACCAGTTCAAAAAAAAGAATAAGCAGGAACAGGTTGAGAAGAGAAAGTGCCTAGAAATTTGGTTTTGACAGCCAAGGCTACAATATGTTAGAAGTCTAACACTGATAATGGTGGAGTCTTGGCTTTTCCTTTCTGTTTGCTTTCGTCTAGCAGGTTTTTTTTAATTACTTCTCAGGAAGGGAGGTGTGATGATCAGCGTGGCTTTGAGATGAATAACTTAAAGAGCTGGCACTAACTTTCTTGCGAGAGCTGCCAGACCTGGGAAGACTTTCTTCTGGTGTCCATTATAGGACATTAAGGTAATACAGAATAAACAAGCTTGCTCTTCTTTGCATTAAGAAGCAGGTAGAACTGGTTGTCTCATGTTGTCAGAAAACATTTTTACCATTGTTTGGATGCTATGGTAAAAGGGGTTGCATTTTTTGGCTGGAAATCTAACTACAGCTTTTCTGGTGAACTATATTTCCTATGATGGCTTCAGAAGAACAGAAATTGGGAACTGCTGAGAAGAGAATGGGGCATTTACAGTGAGAATTCTGAAACTTAGATTCTTTTTGGACAGAAAAGGGATATTTTTTATTATTTTGATTAATTTTTATTTTGTAGAGTGACATCTGCTTATGCTGTATAGAATATACTTTTCAGGTTTAGCATCTATTTTAAAAGCCTGATCTGAGGAAAAGAAGCCAGAATAGCAAAGTTTTCTGCACCTCAGCTGTTACTCCAGTTCTCTTTGAAATGATCTGTGGGCAATAAAACTGTTGACAAAAGGTCCTATCCACTGTGAGAAAACAAACAAAAAAAGAAATCCGAGTTCTTCAAGCAAAGACATATCCATTGTTTTCAGAAATTAGTTGCATCTGATTGTTCTGATCCAGCTTTTGTAGTAAGAACACAAGCTGTTGTTGCAATAGCAATATTAGAAAACATAACTAGTAAAGGATTGCCCAACATATACTGCATATTTTAATGAGCATGCAGCTCTGATTTTTTTTTTATTTTGTATTGCCATTTTTTTTGTTCATGTCAAGAACAGTGTCTACTTACAATTTCCCAGGAGAACAGACTTTATATGATCAGATCAGAATATACAGTCAAGGTAACATAATAAAAGGAAGATGTTAAAAAATCTATCTGAAACCAAAAATTATTTTTCTTCCAAAATTAGCACTTGGCTTTGCTGTCTTTTTGGAAAGAATATCTGAAAGCCTTGTTGGGTCTACTAGTAGTTGCTAGGTCTTCATGTTAGCTAGCCTGGCTGTTTCTAGGCCCCTTTTATCTCTAGATTCACAGTCCAAGTTTTCCATAAGTCTCATCTTCCTTCTATGTAGATATGGGATTTGTGCATGTAAAAGGCAGAGAAAAGAAGAAAGAAATCTCTTAGGTAAGTAAGCAGGCATTATCCTCATTCTTGTGGCTTCTGAGAACTGTTTGGGCAAAATGATTCATTGCTTCTTAAGTAAAATAAAGTCTGAGGAGAGTGGAATGACTCCTCCTTTTAGGGTCTCCATTTGAAGCATTGCTTCTGTCACCAATTCTGGAAGTTCTTGTCTCATTCTTCAAAAGAGGGCAACACTCCTCCAGAGGTATTTTCCAATTTTGCTGTAAATCAAGGCTATAGCCCTTGAAAACACTCTAGCTATAATTGCATTGTTGAATTAGTTCTGACAAAGACCCTTTTGAAAGAATAGGTCTTGAAAAATTCCACTGGTTTCATATTGCATTTGGGTTTTACCAGTAAAGCAAATATTCATGAAGAATAAGTCCTTGCTTTCTATAATTTTTGTTTGTAGCATTAAGGAATGTTTTCTTTTGGTAGAGATCAGGAGACTCAGTTGGTCATGCTGATGGAATTTAAAGAGAAATGTTGGACCACAGTCATATCACAGTGTGGGAAGAGTTCTTTCATAAAGTGAAGCACTCTGAAGATAGTGGAGGGAACACCTAAAGGGAAGACAAAAAGAGAGATGCATTCTTACCATATGGCATTCTCCAAAAACATGGCAAGCCTGTTAATAGTACCTCTACAAGAAGCAGTTCAGACTAAGCGGGAAGGACTTAACACATTTGCTCCCGTTTTGACGGGATTAGGAAAAGCCTGTTGAAATGTTGAGTCAATCCATGCTGAAATCTTCCTGAGCAGCAAAAAGACCACACGGAGAGCTCACAGTTTTACCTCCTTCCCAAATATGCTGAGCTTTATTCATTTCCTATATTTCACCCTATGGTCATTGAGATGTGGAAGAACTTAAGGCTCATTTAAACCACCCTCAAATACTGCTATTGTATTGTGTGACCTATAATAACAATACTTGCCTAGCCCCTTTATTTCCTTGTAGAGCAGACATAAATCCTCTCCATAAAACTTCAGTTAAGCTTTTTATAGAAACATCTGTATGTTTGTGAACTGGAGTCTCCCTGTAGAATAGTTGTCTTTATAATTACATTTTTGAGCTCAGTCACACTTCTGGATTATTTTTTAAATCACATTTATGGGCTTCATAAAATGCTCTCATGCATGTATTATCAAATTAATAACATATGGATTACTAAAGAAAAATAGTTGAGAAGAATTTTGACAGAGTTTGGGAACAGCTGAAGTCAGGGATTTTGCAGTTGTCTGTGTCAAGTGTAATTGTGACCTGTAAACTATGCATCACTCTTCTCCTTAATTTAGCTCACTGGTGGTAAAAGTCAGCTGTTCCAGACTGTCTGCATTCCTTGAGAATTGGTAGTGCACAGTGGTTTAGCACAGACTGTCAGTGTGCTGCACTGTGCAGCCTGTGGATCAGTGTGCCTTGGCTTTTTCCCAAGTGTCACTCATGCACAGCAGAGAGTTTAAAACTACCTGCAGGAAAAATGAAATTCATGTTTCCTAAATTAGTCCAAAACATTAGGATATGGCCCCAACAGGTCCATTCTGAACTATCCATATTTTATCTACTAGGATAAAATAGTGGAAAGTGTCAAATTTTGATATGACAATATGGAAAACATTTTTATCGGAGTATCAGGTTTGGTTGTAACCTCTTTTGTGGTCTGTATGTGTTTTCAGCACTCAGGATTGCTAATGAAAGCAGTGATGCTGAATTTGGTATAAAATGCCTGAATACCATCTAACTTCTACTTCAGAAAAATATGAGGATTGAAACAAGGTACATCCTTTGTGTTAAACTTGAAGGCTAAATGTTTGTGTCTTTATTATTGTAAAATTTAAATATAATTTTTTTTTCATTTATTTATCTGATCAGTTACACAGTTTGCTTTGTGAAGGAGGAGGGATTAATTTCCACAAATCTTAGATTATTAAGCACCACAATATAAACATGAAGTATTTATCATTATCTTCCATGACTGTATTAGTAGTGTGGATGGAAAAAAACCTCATCAGAAACAACCTGCCCCTTCCTCTGTCAAATTACCTTTTGCAATTAAATGTGATAATTTCCTGAAATATTTCCTGAGAATTTGTGAGCAATGACTATATTGAAGAAATTTGTTTAGTGAATCATTACTTGCAAATTTTTCGTGTATTCTGGCCAGACTATCCACTCTATTAATGGATTCAAGATATTTAACAGGAAATTATTTCCAACCAGATGAGTTGCCTGGTCTGCATTCTTATAATCTCCGACGATTCAAATTCTTCTTGAGATCAGTGATTCAGAAAGCCATATGGGATATTTTAATGTTGGGTACAATATTTGAACATCAGAAAAGTGAGATTTCTTAGATTTTTATTTCCCTTAAGTAATATAGAGCTAGATAAAAGACATACAATGCCATTTTATGCCTTCCTGTTCCCTCATTTTGCAAAACTAAGTATTGTAAGTGGTCAAAATGGAAATTTAAACATCCTAATATGGTGATATAGGCAAGTTATGAGGAAATGAGTTAGTATACCAACGTGTGTTTGTATACTTTTGACATTCTGGTAAGTACCAATCTGGTGTACTATTCAATATTCATCTGTTTTGATCTCTGAATGCCTGCTAAAATAGAGAGAATGCATAATTGTTGACTGTTGTTAATCAGCTTGGACAAACACTCTGCAGTTAGAGAAGAAAAGGTGACTGTTGCAAGTCAGTGCATTTTTATGTACTTCTTCAGTAACTGAAGATCTTTGTGATCATACTAAACCAAAACAAAACAAAAAACCTCACATGAAAAACTGTACCCTAAAGTCAGATCAACCTTGATTTCATTTCACCAGAAAGTTGGTCTGGAATAGATAAATGCATTGATGGAGTAGGAATGACAGCCATGGTTACAATTCTCTTTTCCTGGATCTGCATATTTTTCATTTCAGAGCAGACCCTCATGAAAATTACTGTCACTTCAAATGAGCTGTTGGCTCAAGATGTAATCCTGACTTTACTTCTGGGTACATGTGCCCAAAGCACTTAGCTTACCTCTTTTGATGTCCTACATCCTACATTCTCTTGTCCAATAGGGTAGGAGGATGGGAGAGACCAGATGAGTAAATCTCTCTAGGGGACAGCGAAATTTGCAGCCAGGGAGAGTGAGGGGGTGAGGCTCCCTCAAGGAATTGTTCCGGTAGTACATTTCTATGGTGTATTGCCTGTTTCAAAATACAGAGGGGTCAAAATAAAGTTAGCTGTGCAAAACCACATGCCTTTCCATGCTGCAGTTATTGTACTTTGGGACAAACTTTTAGCCACCTTATTTGTCTGCTTGCTAATATGTTTATGGCTTACTAATGTAATTAGTAGTCTGAAAAGAACTTTTTTTAAGCAATGCAGGGTCAGCACCAATGTGCATGTAGTTTGCTGTCTTTGCTAAGGAGGTAAATAGATTAAAAAAAGATGGAGAACAACCTCTCATAAGTGTAAGATAGCTATATATTTGTATGTATATATAGAGATATGGTTTTCAGGCTTATTCTGCTACTGATTACTAAAATGAATGCAATTACAATAATTAAAATCAATGTGTAATATTTCCCTGAATAGTAAACCTCACGTATCCGGTTTAATTAGTCTTGGGTATCAGAAAATTCCTTCTTAGAAAAAGTACATATTAGCAGTATAGCTTGCATATACTTGCCCATTTTTTTCCTGGTAAAGTTCAAAAAAATGGCAAGCACTGTGAGGAGGCAATTTTCCATTGAAGACATTGAGTGCCATCTGTAAGGCAGCAATGGTGGCTGCATGCTGTGAACAGAAGAAACCTTTAATTAAAGGTCTGTTGAAAATGATTGCATTAACCTCTTATTTAGCAATATTTCCCTCACATTATCTGTCCACTCAATATTAACCTCATTAGAGCCTCAAAAGTACCTGCCCTTTGCACTGTTGAGCAAATATTGTCCCTTTATGGCTATATAAACTGAAGTCCTGCATGTATAAAGTGTACATATATGTAAATATTTAAGAAGCCTTAGTCATTTGCAGCTCTTACAAAATTAATAGGAGCTGTTAAAACTTCTTTAAAAAGAACTAGGGTTTTTGCCTGTTAAGTAAGAACTATTTGAGATCAGATCAGTAAGCTCTTTAGCTGATATATACCCAATAGGTCATTATATAAATGCAGTTTAGTAACAGGAACTTTTTAGTGAAAGCAATCAAAAAATTTCCTCCTCCAATGGCAGCATTTGTACATTCTAAACAAAAATATAAGATCGAAATTGAGTAACTGCCTTCATAAATCCTGATAAAATAACTGTAACTTAATTTTTTTCTTTTTTTCCCCCATATGCACTTGAGAAAGATGCAGGAAGAAGGAGATTTTGTTTTAAATTAACTTTGTGATTCAGGTTTAATAAAACATGAGGCATGATTTTTCCAGTTCCCTGCTCAGTCAAAACATTATTACAATGAAAAAACCATGACATTCAGTAGAAAGTTGTAAGCCAGGAATGCTTCAGGTTTCAAAGTAATATCTGTTCATTAATTTTTTTTTTAAATCTGAGGATGTTTAAGGTTAACCAAATAAAAAAAATGCTTGTAGCTGTATTTCATGAAGGAAATAGAAGTTCACAGCTTTCACTGCATTTAATAACTGCAGAAAGGAAGCACAAGAGAAACAGAAAGCACTCACCGTGGAATACATAACCATTTTTTGGTGGTATGAAGGCTTTCTAGCATCTAAGATATGCTTTAGAATAGTTTTTAAAAGAATACCTGAAAGAAAATGGGGAAGCAGTGACGATGAAAGAGATGCTTTGTTAACATCTGTATCGATTGTTGTCATTTCAGCAATCTGTCACTAAGTGCACCAGATTTGTTCGATTAACTCAATTGGTAATTTGTGCAGATTGCCTTGATTAATAGTGACAGTATCTTTCAAATGAGCAGTGGGTCTGTTTTACTTCTGTGTAAAATGTTTTGGGGATCCCTAATAGCCTCAACAGCTTCAAACAGTTCATTCATAGTTACTTTGTGCCAGCAGAACAGTGCAAGAAGAGCACAGTAATGAGTGCTACCCCGTTGTCTGTGTAGCTTTAGTGATTTCCTGCTTTCCAGAGAAAAAAGAAAGAGCATATCCTCTTGACTCTGGGGCTTTATAAATTGTGTGGTTGTCTGAGTTTTGTTAATGTTAACTGCTGAAAAACTGTTAAGACAAACTACTTGGTTTAAATCAATGGCTGCTCTAGTATGTTAATATAAGGTTGCCATGTTGACAGGTTAAAATCCTAAAAGTAGAACTGCACCAGCTAGCAAATTAGACAGAATTAGTCTTTAGCTTCTGGCACATTTTTAAGAGCAATGGTTAGTAAAGCAAGGGCAGAGGTTTGAACTTTGTGCCAAGTTTTACAAGTTGGAGCTTTGAAAAATGCAACAAATTAATTCATTATTATATGTTCATTTGTCTTCCTAGCTCACAGATCCTACCTGTACACTGCCCATATAAAACAAAAAGGAGGCTCAAAAGATGACAGTGGAAGACTGGAGGAGAATGAGTGATAAAAAAGGTATAAAGTACTTTCAAATTTCAGCCACTGTTTTCTGAGCAGAGTAAGGTTTAGAAGCAGTTTGGTAATCTCATTTTAGGACTCTCAGTAGTGGAATATGAAGACTGTTAGGCAACAAAATCACCATTCTTACAAATAATATTTTTTCTAAGTAAGTTACTCATGGAGGCTTATGCTAAGTTCAGACTTCATTCAATTCAACAAGAATCTGTATGTTATATTGAATTTCTTATACAGTGTAATCTAAATGATATCTCAATTACAATGTTAGATTAGGGTATTCATGATACATATGCTCACCATCTCCCTCTCCATTAATCAAAATATTTCAGTGCTGCCCACCAATATCCCCATAATGGCATCTTTCACCATTCTACCATAAAATCAGCAACATTGTCATATACCCTTTCCTCTTTCTCATCCTGCTTTTGGTTTTAAATGGGGTAAGAATTCAGCTTACCTCCCTGCAAACGTGATTTTTGTATTTTTTTGTGGACCCCAAATTCTGCTTGCAATAACAATTCTGACAGCTTTATCAGCTTGGTCCTGACACCATGAGTAGCCCAAACAGGTAAAGTGTAATTGTTAATATCCTAGAGTGAAGAAAGAAAACATGCTGATTTTCTTACTGATTCCTAATGCTAACTGTTATTTATTCTGCCACAAAATTCTTCTCAGAACAAATTCCAAATGTTTCACTCCAGTAACATTTTCTCATTGTAATAAAATAATGACTGTATTTTGCATTTAGACAGCTGTAGCATTCCTATTTATAGCATCATAATGCTTGAAAGATATTTGAAGGGCAGTTTTCAACAAGAGGAGGAATATTTATTAGTAATACTAAAATTACACAAAAAGCAACTGGCATTTTTTATGTTGTCAGGTGAAAAAAATCACTATATTACTTTTCCAGTCATGTGCTGGGATGTATTTTTACTGAAACAAATCCTGTATAAACATCAGGATTTTAAGGGCTGGTAGCTTTCAGGTGTAAGAGGAATACAGAGATCAATGTATAGCTGCAGTATGGATGTACTGAAGTATGGAGTAGATGTATAAGGATGAGATATAAATGAAATTTGTACCTGTTGTGGTCTATTGGGTACTGTCACAGTCCTCAAGCTAAAGTGGAGCAGATTAGTCTTTCCTTGGGGATGCAGTCCAAGGTACATAAGTGATCACAACTTTGAGAAGGGAAAATATACACAACACTCCTGGTTTGCAGTACCCTGAATTCCTGTTTAAACAAGGTTGGTAATTTTCCTTTAGAGCAATGTAACCTTTGGACTGAGCTCACCAAAAGGAGTGTTCTTGTAACAAGTGAACTCAAAGGAAAATGTCAACTACTTTAAGGGTTTGTTTAAACAAGAAAACAATAGAATGTGCTATTGGTTAGACCAGCTCAGATCACAATGTTATCCATTTCTCTTTTAATAAATGTGATTTATATCTTGAGGAAAGAATTGGATGGTTGCATGCTATTTAAGACAGTCTGTAGGCAAGCAAACACCTCAGTCTCCGAGTTACCTGAAAGTCAGATAACACTTAGCTGAAAGTAACAAATACAGAGAGATGTGTGCTACTATAATTTCAAGAATTGTATTTAAAAACTGTGTAAGCACTCTCTCTCTGTATGCTTGAAAAATGAGAGAGGCTTTTATGGCAGATGTCTTAATTGATACCCTTGGAGTCCTCAGTCAGTAGTATCAAAGACCAAGGCTCATCAAATGTAACACTAGAAGGAGAAGCACTTTCTTTTTTTTTTTTTTTTAATTCCAGTGTTTAGCTAGATTCTTGATGGGAGCTGTGGATTTTCCAAATTTGTCTGGTGACACAGATTCTCAGTATGATTTAACTATTGAAATAGAAAGTTGTGGTCCTGCATTTGGAAAACATGGAAGGGTGACCTCACTGAAATTACGGTGAGATGCCCCAGCATGTTAACATTTCATTTAACTTAAGGCCCTGGCTAACATTCTATTCAAGTCTGCTTTGATTAAAGTTGGATTTTTGCAAAAACTGCAGGAATGAAGGTAAACTCATTCATATCACACCCTGTAAAATATTACATGTTGCTTCTGAAATCCACCTTAAAACTCCCTCACTAATATGCCAGTACTGATGACCAATTTATCATTAATATATGTTTATAAATAGTTATGCATGAAAGTGTAGCAAAAGCTGCCTTCAAAAATAACTTTTAAACACAAGACTGCAATTTTATGTCAGCTGAGGTAAATCTCAACTTGGAAGAGGGATTTCTTGCTAAGTTAAGGGCAGTCAGGATTTTTTTCAAATCATGACATTTCCAGACTGCGGAGCCCAGATACCCATACCAGTTTGGCAGCATAGTACCCCTTTTTAATACAATCCATGCTCTTTTGTGATACCTTTGCTTAGAACAAGCTCCCAAACTTGCACAAATAGCAATTTGTGTCATTCCAATGGCTGCTTAATTCCTGAAAATACTCGGTCCACTACTGGCAATGTACAAATAATGGCTTCTCTTGCTTATTCAATTTGCATAAAATCTTTGTGGAAGGATGCTTATGTTTCTTTGCCAGCAACATATTTTTATCTCTGTATATCTCCTAGTGGGGTCTGGGGGAGTTACAAGACAATTTTATCCTAAGGTATGCTTTTACCTAATTCTCCATATGCAGTCACTGGCTGGATCTTGAATATGAAAGACCACTGGTTTGTGTTCCTTACAGGGGTAGATGACACACAGCAGCCTCACACCTTGAGTGTTTACAGGATTTTCAGTTGTAAGTTTGATGTTAAATGAGGGTTTCTAGGAAAGAAGCTCCAAGTAGTCGATGTGTAAAAAAAAATTTGAAGCACAGATCTATGATCTTTTTATGACTTACAATAAAAAAATAAATCAAATAAAAATACCAGGTTGAAGGAAGTGTAGGAATTTCTATTGGACTCAAAGATCTTAAGGGTCTTTTCCAGCCTAAATGACTCTATGATTCTATTTACCTCATATTGTAAAGTGTCAGAGAGCTTCCAAATCCTTTCACTAGTCAACTTCTTCAATGGATATCCTGTATGAGTGGCTAAAAACTTCAGAAATTGCTGGAATACAAAAAAAAAAAAATATCCAAACTTGTATTACTGAGGGCATTTTTACAGGATTTCTACACATTGCCTGCCATAGTAGTACATAGGAATTTTTAGAAAGAAGGTTCATTGTTTAAGCGCACTTTGCACTTAAGCAATAAACCAGTGCCTAGAGGTAAGAGAATTTGGCCTATTCATTTAGACAAGGTTGGTGATTTTAGTTCCGATTTGAAGTATGGTGATTATTTATGCTTGCTGGAAATGTTTAGAAAGAAGTAGAGGGAACACAGATATATGAAGAAGTCTGACAGAAATCCAAGAAGTGCTTAAAGGAAGTGTGGTAAACAGAATTATTCTGATACTGGTACTCAGGAGAAGGAGAGGTATGATGTAAATTTGCTGATGTAAAATGGGAATGGTGATTTACTTGCATATAATACCCAGATGCAGAGCCACAAATGGATGATTGAAGTCAATGGTGAAAGATAATAGAAAAACAGGTGAGGATCATAGTGTCCTGATGAATACACATGTGTAGTAGAAGGTTGCAGCAGAATAAACATCTGGTTATATAGACATGCAAAGGTTTTGATGATGGAGAAAGAAAGGAAAGGATACCATATGAAGACAGGCACAAAACATAAGAGAACACCAAAATTAAGATTTTGGGTGGAAAACATGAATAGGTACTTGAGAAAAACACTGAGACTGTTATAGAAATTCTGAGGAACTGAGCTGAGAAAATTAATCTGAACTCACAGACTTGTATAGGCAGAGATGTCAGAGGAGTTTCTTTACAAGGGAGTAAACAGAGAGAGGTATTGGAATAATTTGAGAGGCATTGACACTGATTTTATCTGAGTTTTTGTTTTGTCTAGTCCCCTCGAAACTAAGTTTTTGCAAGTAGGTCAATAATTTATCTTTTCTGTGGCTTGCCATTTTCAATTGTCAGGAACAGCCCAGTCCAGCTGGATCTCTAATGTTGTAATTGGTTTTTGGGTATGTTGTCTACACCCACTCTGAAGATTTGAGATCTGAAGGGATCATATTAACTGTTATTTTTTAAACCCATGTGTTAGATAATGTTGAAGAAGTGGTACACTTTATCTGGATTTCCAGAACTGAGAATACTTTACCTTGTAGTGCTTGAATTGCCTTTGGAAATCCCTTGTTGCAAAGGTTTCTCTCAGAAGCTCCTTGTATTTTGGGCAGTGTGAGAAAGGTAGGTATAGCAACTGGAAAGAAAATTACAAAATCCTAGTTAGGCAAGGTGAATCTTGTTCTGCAATTCAATATACCCTTGCAGGATTGCTGTTCTGATCTGCTGCACTAGTTAGGACAAGCTGAAAAATAATTTGGGAACGTAGTTTCAAGGATATTCATCTTCAGGACTCTAGGAGTCATATTGATGACTACATACAAAAGAATCTTTAAATGTTCAGAGGAGTAATAGCTGCAGTAGTTCAAAGTTAAAGGATTCATTTAAACAAGATGAAATTTGTCCTTTGACAGAAGACTGAGACAAGCCCTCATGAACTCCTTTGTTCTTAGCTTCTCCAGGGATGATTTCATTAATTGTGTTCAGTCTTTCTTTGCATACACCATCACATTTTTACAACAAATTGCAAAGCAGCAGCTGGACTGCAGTAAGTGTCTTTGTGCATATTCAGCTGTATTGAGTCTGTTTAACACAGCTTCATGTAGTTCAGTTAAACTGTAGAAATTTATGAACTTTCTGTAACTCGGTTTTGTCTTTCATCAACCTAAGATATATGAATGTTAAACATGACTGGAATAACTTAAGAACTTGTTATTTCATTTATATGTATTTATATATGTTAGCTAAATTTATTTTATTCTCTTTTTCTGTATTAAATTTTAAACAAAAATTAAAATTTTACACTGATATTATCAGTGCTTTTCCTAATGTGTTTTTTTGTCCTTTTCTCAGTAATGTAGCCCCATCTATATAGTCCCAATATTAAAAGAACTTTGAAAAGAACTTGAGAGGTTTGAAAGGATAATTAACTTCGAATGCTTCACAGCAGTTCCTCAGTCTTTTTAGAAACACAAACTATGCATTCCACAAGATAGTAAGGTATTTGTGAATTGTAGCCATAGGTTCACGAACAGGCGTGACTTCACCAATAAATAAGGGACACTTGTTTTGTGTTGTAGGATACATGTGGTCTCGGGCTTAGCCTGTATATGTAGTAAAGATAAATAAAGCTAAAACAAAAATAGCTGAAGAAAGTATGAAAATTGTGCATGTGTTCATGACTTCATGATTTGTTGGAATAAACTTACTTGCTCCCCTAGATGTGAATTGCAGCACCTGCTTGCTGAGTGTGCCATCTGTGTTGGTACTGGCCAGGTATTCTCGTCTCTCTGCTGGGATATCCCCACCTGTGACAGTGTCAGAAGCAGCTCCTGACTGTGCCTAGCTGTGTGTGTGAAGAGGAAGACATGTCTCCATGCCTTCCACTTTCATGCTGTCATTACCCTGAGGTGAAAACCATTGCTCCATGTCCTATCTGACGTGATTCCCTTGTCATCATAGACTGTGTTAACTAGACTTGTAAAGCCCACACAATTTATCTTGCATCACATGTGCAAGCCTGCTCTCATAAACTGGGACTCATGCTGCACACTCCCGATCTTAACTTTTTATCATAGATTTTCTACACACAGGAGATTCCATCTCCAGTCAGTTGCACAGTTTTCCCCTCTAGAACAAGTATATGCAAGGTACAGAGCTGGTATCCACAGGATTGCTTACCACTCCAAAGTGAGGAGCTGAGGAGGGGAGGTGAATAAATACATTGCCCTATGAACTTGTGCTTAAAGCTCTGAGTTTTCCTTCCTTTCCCCTTTTACTTTTCGCACCAATCTTTGGAGTACATGCATTGACCTGCCAAGTGCATGAAAAACAATCCTGTAACCCAATTCTCACCATAATGTAAGTCCCAGAATGATTCTTTTGTCCTCTTCATTGGCTGTGGACTAAGCAATACTGAAGCACTAGTGAGATTAAGTATTTTTCGTCTTCTCACACAAAGAAAACCATATTTGCATTAAATTTAGGATTAATCTACTTGTATTGTGATTTACTCACCTTATAAATGAACTTTTTCTCTACACCCAGTACTCCCATTTTTCTTTCTCTTTTGTTAAGATCATGTCTCTGATATGCAAGTCCATTCCTGTGAAATACTTACCAACACTTTTACTCAGCTTATTAAGCCTTCCTGCAAAATGCTTGTAACAATGTTCTTTTCATTGCCTTTACTATGCACTTTTTGCTGCACCTTTATCTCATATCCTATGTACTTTACTAATGATCAAGGGAAAGCAGATGCCCCCTAGTTTATACTCACATTATCCTGTGACAGTGGCATTGTGTGAACTGGAATTGGCTGCCAAAGGATTCTGGGGTTCCAAATTTGGTCCTGTGTTGGTGGGTACAGTCCGGCAAGACTTGCCTGAGCACTCATAAGTGTGTGATCACAGTCAGTGCTTTGAACATAAATCTGAAGGAGGAAAAAAAAGAAAAATAAACATTTGTGATGGTAATGTCTTTCGTTAGGTTTACTTTATTGTCTTCTTGGTAGGAAAAAAGGGGCTGGTACTGGGGAAGTTGTCATTAAAATGGAGTGGCATGAAGAAGGTCTGTGAGAAAGAAGAAACAAGGAGAGAGACTGCAGCTGGAATAACATTTTCCTGGACAACTGAGCTGCAGCAGGCTAACATCTTAGAAATCCTAGGGGACAACATGAGATTGACTCTATTTGACCCTCTAGGCTTTGGGACATGGCATGTGCACTAAAAAGCTGGAACCTAGATGAAAACTGCGTTGTACCTGCATTCCATGTAGAAGTGTAGCATTGGAGGTATTTGACACAGATGCTCTCCCATACAGCAGGGAGGGAGCTGAACCTGATGTGCAGCCTAAAAGCTTTTGTGATTTTCAGTTATCCATCAGGATAAAAGCTGAACTACAGTTTCAGGGATACTTTGGAATGACATTGACTTCAATTGGTATTACATTTTCTCCAACTATACCAGGTTTAGACTCTTATGCATCCAGGAAGTCCCATTAACAACCATCTTCCTGCCCAGATCCAGTACTTGCCTCACACTGCTTGTATACAACGCTCAGGAAATGAGAGTATCTCCTCCGCATGTACTGGCCAAGCTCATACTGTTGTTGTATGCCAAGCTGTAGAAGTAACACAAGAGCATAAGAGGCTAAAGAAATGTGCTATGCATCCATTCCTACAACCAAAAAAGAATACAATAATATTTGATGTTATTTTAATAAAGACCTTTTTCCTTTTTCAAATTTAATTAGGAAAGAAGACATGAGAAAAAATTAGTGAAGTTGCTGCATGTATGGTATTGGATAACATTAGATATGACTCCTGGTAGATGCAGTTTTGTATTTTGCTCTGTGGAAAGCTATGTGTATGTTTATCTGAGCTAGTGAGACTTAAAGCAGGCATAGAGATATTCCAACACCATCTGTCTACTTTCTACTCTGTTGCTGTCTCAGAGCTGATTAACTGGGAGTGCAGACAGAGCAGCCACCTGTCCATGAAGACACATCCAGGATACAAATCCCATAGAGTATCACCAGTGATTCCTTATTGGGGGCTACACTTTTAGCCTGGGGCAAGATCTAGTTTTTCAGAATAGAAGTCTTGAAGTAAAAGTCCTCCAAGCCTTTGGGCATTTTGCTACAATAGTTATCAACAGTCTGAAACATTTCTTTTTTGATTCTTGCCTGACTGTGTTCCCAACTTTCAGTCACTGAATCTTGTTGCAATTTTGAATAACATTCACCATCACAGATCTTATTCACAGTTAAACAATAATCCATAAAATGGAATCAAGTCACTTTATCTCTGTGTTAAATGAAACTGATGACAATTCTCTAACCTCAAAGCAAAATTTTTCCAGTCCCAAAATTTTGGTAGCTCTTAGCTGAACATCTTTCAACTTACCTACATAATTTTGTGAACACATGACATATGAATCACTAAATCACGAAATCAGTTAGGTTGCAAATGACTTTGGACATCACTGAGTCCAACCTATTACCTAATGCTACCATGTTAATTAGACCGTGGAATTAGGTACCATCCACTCTTTGCTTAAACACCCCTGGGGTGTTGACTCCACCGCAATCACACACAGTGTCCCTCTAACAGTCTCTATATTGCCATCTTTTTACTTGTACATGGTGTTTCCTGGCCTAAATTTAAATACTTTCCACTTTGCTCATGTAATCATTACTGTACACTGGTATCTGAAATACAGTGCTTACTCATTGCTTCCTAAAGAAATTTTCTAAGCTGTGGGATCAGAGGATAATTCAGGCTGAAAGGCACCTTGGGAAATCTCTAGTCCAACCTCCTGCTCAAAGCCAAGTCATCTAGGAGTTACTCAGGACCCACTGTGTGTGCACATGATCACCTCTTTCTTGTGCTGGAATGGTGCACCCAGTTTCCTAGGGAGTATGTGTGGTTTAGGCTTCTGCCCCAACTTGCCTAATATGCATGTTGTTAAGTCCTGACTCCTGGGTCTTGAAGTCTTCTATGCCTTGGAGCAAGCTGGCATGGATTGCTGAACTTGCATAGCGTTTATATGGAATGATTGAGTCACAGCTGAGTTGGGAATCTACTGTTACTCCTGTTTCTTCAAGGGAGTTGACTTGAGCAGAAATAGGCCTCATTTTGCTTTGGAGACCAGTTTTGCCTCCTAAGAACCATGGGGAGGAGGAACCCCCTCAGGCAGTTTGTTCTGTTCTGATTTTGGGGGAGACCTGGCAAGTTCTTTTAGGTGAGAGACCCACTGCAGAGACACTGCACATAAGGTGCGTGTGCCTAACAGAGAGACACACCTCACAGTCTGCCTCCATATGCACTGTAGCCATTTATCTGGGGCAACCACATTTCTCGAACTACTTCAGAGAGACTGCCTGGTTCTGAGTGCTGGGCAAATAACTGGCAGCTTTTGCCATCCAAATAGCATATCTTGGGCAAAAAGGAATGAAGCACAAGCATACAGACGTAGTGGGTCAGGCCAGTGGGAGGGGAAAAAACACCCAGTGTCCAAATATTGCATTACAGCCTTACAGTTCACTCATGGCTCCATTTATAAGAGATGGCAGCTAATAGAAGTTACAGTCAAGGCAGGCACAGCATCGGTCACCTACAGTGTCTGTGCTGCTTCTGGTTACCACCAACAGCTGATTCCACAAATGCCTGCACTAAACGAGTTTTAAATCAACTTTCTTGGGCATAGCATAAGAAGAGTTTCTGCTTGTACTGAACTTAACAGTTTATGAGTGAGAAAACACTCCTATTCAGCAGAGATTGAGGGAGGGTTGTGTCTGTCAGCGCTTCCATCACCTTCTGCTACTGATGATTAAATCTTCTGAAATGGTCACCAGTGCCTGGCTCCTCCCAGAAGACCCTAGTCTGCAATCAAAAAGCTCAATATATGCTGACACTGGACCAAAACAGGCTGGCTCAGTTTAATTCAAAATTAGTGAGTGATGTTGCTGTTTCCTCATAAGTTCCTTGGCTGTCCTTAAATGGCAACTTAATAAGGGCTTTCTCCAAAGCAAAGTTCCAACCCCCAAATATCAACACAACATCTTTCAATATTTCAGTTCTTTGCCCAGGTAAACAAACTCACCTTGGTAAGTTGGCCATATCCCTGTTGTCTTGCAATTTCTTTGTGCTTATCAGTTGGGAAAAACTCCTGTGGGGTATGATCACCATGGCGAAATACCTGATAAAATAGATGGAATTGCTTTTGTGTTACTGGTATTTTTTGTGATGATTATTACTAATTAGTGTAGTCACAAGGAATATGCTATGACAGTGAATACTGTATCTGACAGATGCTAAGTATATTAATGGTGCTTGCCTTAAATTTAGATGGCTACATTTCCTGTTTAATTTATTTAGACAAATATAACTGGTTCTTTTTTGGCATTTTACAATAAATTAGCCCAAATAAATTTTTGCAAGTTATAAAACCACAGGATACTCTGTTATATTTTAAAGAGGTTTTATGTATTTTAGAAGGTATAGACCTTAATATTAAATAAACAGAAAACAAACAGAATCACGTAAGTAAAGATATTTGAATGTTAGTATTTTGGTATAACTAAGTTGGAATTCCAACAGAAAACAAACAGAGTCACGTAAGTAATTTTTCAGAGATATTTGAATGTTAGTATTTTGGTATAACTAAGTTGGAATTCAAAAGGAAAAAACCAAAACTATCACTCAAAGTAACAGTTCTGTGGATGACTCCTGTGAAATTCCCTCACTTCACAGAAATTAGCCTTAAAAAGTCATATGTTGGCTTTTTCATCACAAGAGGTGATAGAAGTGTTATCTAATATGTAAATACAGGCTAAACTGTTGCTCTGAAAACATTGAACCTGTTTTGGAATTTCACTTCAGATAAAAGCTGTATTTATACAGATATATTGGATATTTTCATTCATGCAATGAATTCTTTGCTTCATGTGCTTTGCAGCATAATTCCTGTAGATATGAGTGATATTATTCTAAAAGTTTAAGATTTTTTTTTAAATTTCTTAATCCAAGCAGGGAAAAATTAAATCAAAAACTGCAGGGAAAGAAATTATGTAAATTATTGATATGTGTGTGTGATGTTCAGAATAAGATTCAGGCTTTCTGCAAACAAATGGTACATCATAACCATTGCAAATAGCATTAGATTCACAGTGCTGGTTTCTGTGTTGCTTGTTCAACGTCATTGTACACTTGTTTGATTTTCATATAGTGAAATTTACTTTGTGTGTTAGTCCATTGAAACCACTGGAAAAGTGGAAACTCTTCCATGGTAAAGAGGGTTTTTTCAATGTTGGTATTTAGTTATAAAAGTCTCTTTTACATTTTAAAACCAAATCCTGTGCTATTTTTCTCTCAGTTCTATAAAATATGCATTCTATATCCATCCAGAAAGTAAGTTCATGTAGGAGTGCATAAAGGAGACAAAATTATAAAATCTTATTTAAAATGAATATTTTTTGGAACAATACAATAATTAATTTTGGATATGAAGGAAACATTTAAATATTTGAAAATGTGCCCCCTCCTCCCTACCCTAGAGTACAAAAAGAGTAGTAAGTGACAGGTTTTGAAGAAATTTCATTTGCCCATACTTACTAGGGACACAAACTTCAGTTTTCTTTTAGCTGTTGTTTGGTGAAGAAAAATGCAGAAAAGACAGAACAGGAAACACAGACTCCAAATTCCACAGACCAGCTGCCTTGCTCTCATCCTGAGGGTAGCTTTCAGCTATTTTGCACATCAAGGTCCCTGGCTGCACGTGGTGAGACAGTAGATATATAGCTAAGAGGGGTGGAGTCAGCAGTGCTTAGTGAAATCTGAGAGCAGGCTGTGAAGTTGCTTCTCTCCCTTTCTAGGGTTAGTGCTTTTCAGGGAACTCATGAAATGAAAAGTGTATTTCTCATTTGTACTCAATATCTGTGTCCCATGTATAGCATAGAGTGAAATCTCTGAGCTCTATAATTCCTGCCCCTGGCAAGGCAGGTGAATGTAAAGAGCCAGAGGTTGCCTTCTGTTACTGAACTAGAATTTAGTATGGGTCAGTCAGCCTTCCCAAATATGAAAATGCTGTGGGTATCTTACTGTATGCAAAAGGACTATTAAACCATCTGCATTCCTAGTGCTCCCAGTCTTCTCTGAACACTTTGTACTAGAAGGAGCAGTGCTAACAAATGTCTTTTTATAAAGTATCTCTGGATTTTCCTGGGATTTGGCTGTGATTTGTAGGAGGAATAAGCAACAGAAGGTTTTGTTGCAAAGGAACAGGAATAAGCCTAAATTCATTGCAAAAAATATAGAGATATATGAATGAACTTTTAATCTCTTTAGTAGATTGAACTAAATCTGCTGTCTCTAGTGGCAAAGCAGGTGACGCTGTTTTCTAGAACTATCCCCCAGAATTTCATACAGTTAGTTAAATTTTAACTTTTCAAATTTCTCTTGCTGCAAACACTCTCATTGTTATAGGGTGCATATATCAAGAGTTGCTTCTGTCATTTCCCCAGTATATTTTAAATGAGAAAAAACTCTGGCTCAGAGATGCCATTGCGAGAGACTGGATTGATCTTGCAAGTTATTGATTTATGTTCAGTCCATTCATGTGTTAGTGAAAGTCCGGTTAATATGTTAAAATTGAGGGTGATTTCTTAGTCATCAAAAGCTGTCTGTAAGAATTTAAAAGAAATTACTGAAAAAAAAAATATCATGTTGCTACCCAAAAAGGTTATGTAATCCAAAACTAGTTTAAGGCACAAAACAAAACTTTTGTTGTGATTATTAGATATAGACTTCTCTAGGGGGAATCAGTTCTCCTTCCTGAGGTAACAATGTTGTATCTTTCACATCTGTCAGAGCTAAAAAGATTCCTCTGTGAAACAATCAGAGGTCACACTTTCATTTCTGTTTTTATCTCTGACAATTTTAAGAGATTCAGAAATAAAAAAATGTGGGGAGTTGCCCACGTTTATTGAGAAAGAAAATGCCTTCTTTTTTTTTTTTAATTTGGAGGCACCTGGGGAGATATGGGTCAACTGATCGAAGCTATTCACACCCTGTGTCATACCTCAACAATTTCTCTGAAGAGTCTGTGTTTTGCTGTTTCTAGAGAACATGGCATCAGACACTACTCCTAAAATACACTGCTCTGTGAGACAAGATTTTTAAATAGACCTCAGAAAAAATAGAACTCAGAAAAAATAGGCAAGTTCTCACAATTGCAAGACTCCATTCAGGTTCTCCATATACTGTAGATATGTCTGGGTGGAACTGCAGATCTACAACAAGAGCAGAAAGATTTAACTTTAATCTTTTCAAGCATCCATTGTCTCACACTTTATGTGAAACTTCTGTAACTAGGAAGGTAAAATTACTCTTACTTTGAGGATAACAAAATATTAGTGTAAAAATATTAACAAAATGAGAAAAAATAGTAGTGTTAAAGCTGATACTTTCTTCCTTTGATCTGATCTTGATGTTTCTAATTCTGTTAGAAGAGACATGTAAAGGGCTTGAATTGTTTTTAAGTACACCATGTTGATTAATTCTGTTCCTGTTGAAGGTCACAGAGGGAGAATGAAGCAGTGTGCTGTGCCATGGTGAGAGGTGTATAAACTCTAGTTGTTCCAAAGTCAAGGTAACTGCTTATTTAATATGCTTGCAGCCTGTGTTAAAGCAACAGCTGAAGGTGGAAGAGAGAAGATAATGATAAAGGTAATAATTGTACCTCTCTCACTTCCTTGGGAGTACAAAGGACAATATACGAGGTGTAGATGACATGCCTTTATCTACCAATAAACCTGATTAAATATTTATAGGATCATGATAAACGTAATATTACTAAGCAAGTAAAAGTACAGCTTTGTGTTGTGTTCTGTACTGTGATATCTGAAGCTGTTGGATCTTTAACATTGTTGAGGGAATGCAAATGTTCATTAACAATGCTCCAGTGCTTTAAAATTTGTTTGATGGTTAAAGTGCTAGTATTGTATTTGAAAGCTTATTAATCCAAAGAACCAAATTTGACCCTCTACCCCCAAATTACAATATGAATATTCCTTTTCAGGCTCACACCCTCCTCCCACTTTTAAGTGTAGGGTTAAATCTGCCAGATATGTAAATACAGGGTAGGATTGGACTTGCAGCTTGAGATGCTACTTCTTCATTGACAATGGAGAAGGGTCAGAATTGGTTGAAGACACAGTGAAAAGAATGTTAGAGGAAGACTCCAGTGTAGAATTAGTGTGGGGAGAATGAGGCAGGTGGAGGAGGATTTCAACCTGCCCACCCTGCCTCCCCTTCTTAACCGTGCCTGAAGCAACTCCTTAGTGGGATTGTTATTCCAGCCTCTGGTGTTGAAGTCATGATTCTGTGGCTTCTGTACAGTTTTGGTGTCCATGTCTACTTCCATGACTTTCCTCATCTTTTCTCAGCTCCAGTCAGATCAAGGCTAAATATGTCAAGACAGTTCAAGGTTTGCTTTGGTTTACAGTGTACCTCTTTGTCTCCTTACATGCTTTGGTTAAATGATGAAGAAAAGTGATGGTATCATTTCTTCAGCTGCAATAAACTGACAGTCAGAACAGCAACAAAAAAATACAACTCCAACAACTTTAATAGGTAAATAGATAGGAATCAGCTGCCTTTATTTGGCTAATGCTTAACATAGCCTTCTTCGGTCCTTTGTGCTAGGAAAACAAAGGCATGTCATGTCACCACGCCTTGCCTCAGGAACACACTACCCCTGCCTTGAAAGGAATTCTGCCCCAATCAGATAGACATTTTCTGTTAATGATTTCAGTGTTGGCATACAAGAATACTCATTCAATAATACTCTTCTGCATGCTTTCAGGCTGAATTAGAAGCATGTCTAACTGCTTTGAGGAGATGAATTATGAGGCTAGTTATGAATATGAACAAAATGGAGTACCTTTGTCCTGCAAATAAAGTGGTCTTCACTGGTACCTGGGGATCTTAAGAACTATGCATGATGTCCTTTTTACTGCTGGCAGAATACATCACTTATTACCCCATATTCTCTGATCCTTCATTGAATTGCAGCAGAAAAGAGGAGACAGCAGTCAGTGTTGGACTTGTAAGGACTACTGCTGTGGCTGTTCTCAGGCCATTCAGTGTTCTAGGCAGTTGCCTTCTTTTTGGGTTCAAAGCTGCACTCTTGATGTCATCTGAGACAAAGTACTTTTTTTTGCACAGTGGCCAGCTTCTTCTCCATTACACTGAGGCAAATATTGAGTAAGTGTTTAGAAGCTGATGAACTTATTCCAGATATATTTTCCTTTGTGTTTACACAGCTATTCTTCCACTAATGATGTTCTCAGCACCTTCATCTGGAGTTTCGCTGGACTGTAAAACTCCCTCCTCGCAAATGTGAGCACTTTCTCTCTAGTTCTCTATGACTTATCAACTTTTGGTCATAAAATATACTGACATGGAGGAGTTACCAATTAAGATGTAGTTTGGTAGTTGTGTTTTAACAGATGATTGCTATAATATGAGAACAAAGGGGTTTAACTGGCAGTATTCCACAGAGTGGTGGTTCTTGTTTTGATCTTGGGCCATCAATGAGTCACAAACCTGAATTTTGTGCAGTGCAAAATTCCATAATTCTTTTTTTCCCCCAAATTCTGTGAACAAATTCAATTAACCTTGCTTGAGTGTGATGGATGGCTATATCCCATAACCAGACTGCCACTGCAGGAAAGAAGCAAGGGTTGTAGCAAATGGCTAGGAGATGGGAGGCCTTTACACCAGTGACACTATCTAGTTATTTAGACTTGCTAATGAATTGTATGGACCAGAAGGATCATGTTGCTTTGACAATGAGAGATGAAATATTACTTGTGCTGAAAGAACATTTTGTTCCATCCAGCCACCGCCACAGCTGTCTAGCTTGGGTGTAATGCACAAATGTTTCATGCAGGTGCTGACATCAGTCCAAACAACCTCCCTGTGTGTAATCAAGCATCAAGCTATTGTTCTTGTGCACCTTAGAATACCTGAGGGGTTTGGGTTGATGCTTTCTTTAAATTTTAATAACTATATTTAACTTTGAGAGAGGCTACAATAGCTATGATTAAAGCAATTGTTCTGCTCAGCTGGAATGATTTCTGATCATGCCCTAGCACAATGCTGCAAGATTTGAAATGCAAATATGTGGGAGGGAGTAAATGTTCTCTCAATAACTTCTTTATTTCTATTGGAATAAAAAACAAAATGTCCTTTTTAAAAATACCAGGTAAGATAAAGTATAAGTCAACAATTTCTCATAAATATTGTACCTTTCTGGTAATCAGTGTCATTGACCCCTATGAGTGATTTACTTTTTGATACTTAAATCCTGAATTATTAGTGAAGAATTAATAAATTAGCTGTTCCTTCAGATTTAATTCCTCCCCCTCCTCCTTTCTGTTCTGTTCCTGTACTGTTATCATCTTTCAGGGTCTTTTGGATTCTTGAAGATTTTGGTTATATTTGCTCTTCTTCATTTAAATCAGTAAAGCATTCTATGCTAGGACGTAGGCATGCTTTCATGGCACATTTCAAATATTTTTCTATCAGATGTTTTCTTGAGAGGCTGGTGATTTATTTTAATATTGCCACAAAAGTTTTCTGAATGAAACTGTCAGAACTGTGAAAATGGATGACTGTGCTTTTATGTCACTACAATGTGTCTATTAATACTGACTAGACTGGCT